ATTTTTGCTGCAAAGAATCACAAAAGCTTCTGGGTTGTGGACAAGAAGGGACACACATGTCAATGCAATTCAGCAACATAAAATAAAGAAATACAAATAAAACAAATCAAGAATCGGCAAAACATCTCTGATTAGATTTTATTCACTACTAGAATCTAATCAGAGATGCTTTGCCGATTCTAGTCCAATGACCTGCTCCAACAGTTTTAGAAGGGAGTGTGTGTGTATGTGTGTGCATGGCTGTCAAAACTCCAAAAACAGGTCAAGTATCTCCGGAGAGGCCAGTCATAAATTAGAACACTTGCTAAACAACCGGCCCTTAAGTGAGGACCACTTGTTTGCCAGTCACCTGGCCATGCCCACCCAGTCACATGACCACCAAACCACACCTACCCAGTCATGTGACCAGCAAGCCATGCCCAGCCAGCAAGCCACACCAGCCAGTCACGTGACCAAGCCATACCCTCAAATTAGGCTACGCCCACAGAAATTTGAATCCCGCCCCTGGGTGCGGGGCACCGAGGATGATTTTGTAGCACCAAGGGGGTGGTGGACTGAAAAAGTTTGGGAACCACTGCTTTAGCAGGAACAGAAGTGAAAATGAACTTCTTTGGAAACTGAAATCAAAGAGGGTGTGGCTCATAGTCAATAAAATCTTCAAGCACAGAAGAAATCCTGCTTAAGGTGGGAAAGAATTAGAGAATCTCTAGATGTTTTAGGCCCATAGGAAGAGTAAAGTGTCTCTAGGCTGGAAGTGAGAGAAGATGCCAATCACAAGCTAGATGTCTTCTAAGGAGTCCAAGGAACTAAGTGGAAGTGCTCTTAAAATTTCAGAAGGTTGTAATTTGGGTGAGTCAAGTATTAGTAAGGAACAGCTAAATGGAGCAAAGGTCTGGGATGATGGTAACATTTCTGCTCTTGGAGATAAAGTAAAAGTTCAAGATCAGGGTCTGAGTTTAAATTACTCGGATTTCAGATTTGTTAGCCTCCTTTACAGATTCTGGTATTTGGAAAGTATCTGTTAACTGTGCAATGAATTTGCCTCTGATCTTTGTATTTGAGCTTTATTGCTTTTGTACAAGCTCAATTCTTGTTTTATCACATCTACAGTAAGTTATTCGAACCTCAGATCCCATCCAATTGGTCCCCTTGCATTATTTTATGGGAAACCTGTTTTAGACACCAGGGTTTTTTTTTTTTTTGTCAGTCCATAGAATTGTGATTGTTGGGGCATTTGTCCATGGAAAGTCAACATTTTCCTTTTCCTTATTTTTAATAAAATTGGGTTTTAAATTGTAAGATTTATACTTCCATCTCTGCAAAATAAGTTGAGACTGCTGTTCTCTGACAAGCCCAAAGCAGATAGGGCTAGTTTACACTGTAACCTAGGGTTCACTTTCCCTCTTTTTCCTCTTCCTCCTCGTCATCTTCCATGATATTGATGCTGATTGAGGATAAAAAGAAGAATGTCTTCCAATTTATGTGGAAGATGCTCAGCTCCTGGAATCCCCATCTTTCTCACAAATGATTAAAGAAAAGACTGGCCAAAATATTTTTTTTCTTAGGGCAGTAGCAGCAGGACAGTATTATGTAACCCATTACCACATGCACATGGCCGTGAGGAAAGCAGGGTCACAAGATATGGCCAGGTGAGCTGCCCTTTCCAGTGGTGGCACCTCATTGGTTGACCATCTACTATAGACCAACTTTTTTTTTACTCTGTACAAAATTCTAGTTTTCTCAAGCTCCCTAATATCTTAAGACTTAAATATGCACATAGTCAAGCTGTAGTAGATTATAGAGGCCATCAATAATAGAAGAATGCTCACTCACTCATACGAAAAGCACATGCCAAATACCAGAATTCACTATCATGATTTATAATCTATGTATTCTCTAGGATTTGAGCATTCTATTTTTGGTAGCAAATTCCAGTTTACATTCCCATTTATAAAGTCATGGAGTTGCCATTTTTTAATATTTGTCATATGTAAAATAATGTGCAAAGAATCATGAAATTTTGATACATCAGCCCAATAAAGAACTTTAATTTGAATATAGTTACTTGTATTCCGTCACATGAATTCAGAAGCAGCCATGCAAAATGGCATTCATGCAAAAATCTAAAATGAATGTTGAAATCAGAGGTGATATTCAGTCGGTTCATGCCGGTTCATGAAAACTGGTAGCAACAATTTCGCCAAAATTGCCAAACAGGTAGCAACTTCTGGCCGGCCACACCCCTAGCCCAGTCACCATTCATTCGCCTTGCCCACCCAGTCACTGGTCACTCCTCCCTTCCAGCTGCTCAATGCTCACCCCACTGACCCGTCGTGTATATATTGCCTTCATCATGTGGCCCAGCTAATCACCTCGCCAATGCCTGCTCAGTTCAGCTCACCAAAGGTAAGCAATGCATGCCACCTGCTTGCTCTTCGCCTTGGGTCTGGGGCCAAGGGACATGCCATTCCCCGAGGCACCAGAGCCGCCACCCACCTTGGCCAGGGAGGGCGATTCCCCGACTCTGGCCTTACCCCAGAGCCACTGCCCGCTCGTCACCCGCCTCAGCCGGGGAACACGCGATTCCCCAGCTCTGGTCTTGCCCCAGAGCCGCTGCCCACTCTCCCTTAAGTGCACCCTGTCGCCCCATTTTCCCCTCCTTCAGAGGCCCCTGGCCTTAATCTCCCTGTTTTCTCCCCAACTGCCTTTTGTCATCCTGTGGCCGCAACCTTACCTTCCTCCCGTCCCACGGCTGGCTGCTAGGGAAGGCAAGCCAGGGCTGAGCCGTCGTCGCCCCTGGGTTCCTTGTAAGCCCACATTTTGCCCCTCTTGTCACAAGATGCTTGCAGCCATGTGACAGTGCCTGCAAGCTTCTTGCAGCGTAAACTACCGATCTCCGGTTCTGCTCCGCTTCTCCAATGCATTGCCACCGCCCTGTTCTATGCACCAGCCGCCTCTGTACACCCCATAGCCTGCTGCCGCTGTGCCTGAGGGACTTGCCTGGGTCTTTTTTTTGGTTTGAGAAGCCTCCCAGCCGCTGCCTCTTTGCCAGCCGGAACCAAGCTGGCAGCGGCAGCTAGCTGGAGGCTTCTTGTGCCAAAAACTACCCGAGGTCTCAAGTGCACTGAAAAAGCTGCTGCCCTTGCCGCTCTGTTCTTCAACAGGACGGCGATGGCACTGCAGCAGCTTTTTTGGTGCGTTCGAGACCTCTGACAGTTTTGGGCAACCTGGGAGGCTTCTCGCAGTTGCACCAAAAGAGAGCTTACCTTCCTTTCTGCCACCAGCTGCCACGGGAGGAAGGTAAACCCGAAGAAGGCGGTCGTGGGGGAAGAAGCTGGGCTAGTGCCAGGGTCTCTGAAGGAGCGGAAACAGGGCAACGCATGTGGCATACAGGAGGAGGCCTCTGATAGATTAGGCTAGGCCTGGGCAGAAAATAGGAAGAAATTTTTTTCCTACCGGGTTCTGTTGGCGTGGTTTGGTGGTGGGGGTCATGTGACTGTGCGGGCATGAGTACCATCAAGTTGGCCATGCCCACTCAGTCACATGACCCTCCACCTGGCCACGCCCACCAAGCCACACCTATAGAATTGATAATGGAAAAATTTGAATCCCACCACTGTTTGAAATATATTGGTTTTAAGAGAAAATACCAATTTGTGTATTTATGTGGCTTTAAAGAGACAATTAGTGGAAATATCATTCGCTATTAAAAGTAATATAATTTCATGGTTACAATGTCAGACAATGCAGAATATGCCATTTCACTGGCCTGCTCACTTTTATGACAAAGTAATCGTTGGCCAATTGTCATTTGTGTCCTATGTTATCTCAGTGCAGGGTGAGGCAATAGGAGAAGAAAGCACGGAGCAGGGTAAAATAAAAATTAAATATTTATTTAATAAATTTAAAATAATATACATTTTGACTGATAAAATGTTTTACACAAATGTGCCATTAACGATTGCTGTAAAATCATCAGATAGCCAAGTGTTAACTCATAATCCATTGTTTACAGGAAATGTAAGTAGACTTCTGTATGTTAATAGCAATAATCACAGTGGTTATAAACTCAGATTTTTTTTTACGTTATTACTGGTAAAATATTAAATGTTTCTATATATTTATCAAACCTTGCAGACATTCACCACTGAGAAGTGTATTTTTAAAACTGTTATCATTCAACAATGAATCTTAGAAACTTTCAGTTCTCAAATTCGACATGTAGATCTCCATTTTGCAAAGTACCAACAGATGAGGAAGCCTACAATCTCACTTAAAAAGTCACTATTATTTTTAACATGGGTTTTTCATGCAGATATACATGGCCACCAAAACAGGAAGGAGAATCACCTTTAAACCTGATCCAGTTACCTGGGGGAGAGATGGGGGAAGAGTCTGCTTCTTACCTGCTGTCGGAGAAATGCTCTTATCTGCCAACACTGCAGATAAAGCAGAATTTCAAGAATTACCATGAAAAATGCCTTTTACAAAGAGGGCAAGCAACAGGAATAGCTTTCAGAAGACATGAGAAAATATCTTCTCTCGGTAATATAAACATAATTTATATCAGTCTCAATACACCACAATTAAAAATGATGAAATATATCCTCTATGGAAAACTGAAAAATAATCCATGTCAAGTGAACACCTTATAAAGATATTATGCCCTGGAGTATCTGTCTTTGGAAACTAAGAAAACTGGTTCCAGCTTGAATGTCATACTAGAATTAAAATAGATTCCCATTTGGCAGTTCAAGAGAAATGAACCAGTAGATGGTGAAACTATGGCAGGAAAGCAAGAGGCCATTGCATGGGATGTGATAGATTCAGACATGAAAGTTAAAATCTTGTACAGGTAGTCCTCAATTTATAACCACAATTGAGCCCCAAATTTCCACTGCTAAGCAAGAGTAATTAAATGGATTTTGTCCCATTTTAGACCTGTCTTGACAGAGTTAAGTGAACCACTGCCGTTGTTAAATTAGTAACATAATTGTAAAGTGAATCTGGCTTCCCCATTGACTTTGCCTGTCAGAAGATCACAAAAGGTGATTACATGACCTAGGACATTGAAAATGTCATACATTTGAGCCAGTTGCCAAGTGTCTGAATTTTGATTGTATAACCATGGGGATGCTGCAACAGTCATAAATGGGAAAAATGATAAGTAACTTTTTCAGTGCTGTTATAACTTCAGAGTCATTAAATGAATGGTTGTAAGTTGAGGACGACCTGTAAGATTGCAATATGCAAGCTTTAGTCTGATTCATGAGGATCATTTTAGTACTTCTCTGACTTGAAAATAAACAATTATGAATTGGATATCTGGGATCTTTAGAGTATTTAAGATAAGGAATATTTAATTCTTTGCCATTTCTTTTTATTTAGATACTTTTGTGGACAGAACAGAAATTAATTCCTAGACTTTGGAGAGGTTACTTACTTTTTGGCATGAAAATAGGATCAAGAGCAATACAACATAGCATGGATCAAATACTGTATGATTGTTCCTTTTTGGCTGATAAAATTCCTACTTATGAAATCTTACACAAAAACAATGGTGAATAGTTCTCACCGTCCAAGAAAAAAGCACGTAACATCCTAAGTCAAGGATTAAAGGTACCTTCAAAGGTAAAAGTATTGGACAAAGGAATGCAGTGTTTAATCTTTTGATGCCACTATCACTTCTCATAATTATTTATTGTGATGGTAATACACGTGGTTCTCCCTTAGTGATTGTCTTGCATAGGGACTATTCAGTTAAAACGATGAAAAATAACTTTAATGTCTGCCTTAATTGCATCTGTCTTTACCAAAATTCTTCCAAAAACTTGCCTATTATTTTTTGATCTTGTTCTAGCTCTAACTCTTTAGTAGTAATCGGACAAGAAGCTGAGGCCAATAGGAAGAGCAGAAGAATATTCCCTTCTATTTTGGAAGTGATTAACACTGCTGTATTTTTTCAGGCATGGCAGACATTGCTGTTTTAATGAACATGAAAGAGGCTGTGTTCATCTAAGTTCCAAAACACTTTTTCTTGATAATATCTGAAGTGTGCTTAGCCCTAGTTAAAAAAATACTTCATACAAGTGAGGTGTAGAACCTGAATACACCAATACATGCATTATAAAAACGTAGGTGTGTGTGTCTGTGTGCGTGGAAACATAATGCACATACAGAAATCTCCCTGCCACCAATAAATATCAATGTGCATGCTTTTGTGCAAGTTGGCTAGATGTCATGTAAATTATGACAATAAATCAGCAATGCTTCATTTACTAGTGCAGAATGCTGAATTATACAAATAGAGACCACATTCGACTATGCATATCAGCTAAGAAACTATAATGTGTTTCCATTGGGCATATAAAAGACAAGAAAACATCTAACTGATTTTTGACAATAGCATCTTGTGGATGTAATTTGTGTGGCAAATAGTGAGCCAGTGACATCTCCCAAGCATCCACAAAGTACACCCCAATTCCTGAGAACATGTTCCTCATTATCGTGTCAAGCTGGTAAGAATACCAGTCACTGTTGAAAAGGCTAACTTCTGGATCAAGTTCTTGAACATTGGCAGTTTTGATAACTATATAAGTGTTTGGGCTTCGGTCCAGTAGCCGAACAACTGCCCTGCGAATATTTCTCAGTCTCCTGATGTACACTTCTATAGGAAAAGTGCTAAGGTGAGACCAAATAGTTATGGCTATCACAGTATTCTTCCCACCAACAATACGATTCACTTCATTGGCAATATAATGCAGCTCACTACTAAAAACTGTAAAAAAACGAATGGGAGGGCCATGGCAACGAAAATTTAGTAAGATGTTATGCTTTAAATCCACAGCCATGAGAGGACCAACTTTCTTAGGACTTCCAAGGTTTAATTCCACAAGATCTGTTAAAAAAAAGAATTACTATGTCATTGTATGCCATAACTCTATCACTACCTAGAAGTGTTAATAAGACAAAATTAATTTAGGCTTAGCATTATGCCTTCTGAAAAATCATCTGAAGATAAATAACTGCAAGGTTTAATTTTGCATATTCAACTAACCTTTTCAAAGGAATGAAAAAAATATAAAAAATAAATAATCCCAAACATAATTACACTTCTTTGGAAGAAAACTTTAATGTTTTAATCACCTGAATAGGCCCTCTCTTCATTCCCCTCCCCAAATTAAGAGGTTCCCCTTAAGCCCCTCTTTGCTTCAAATGCATTGTACTTTTGCTGAACAATATTGCACAAATACCAATTCGCTGTCAGATCTGCTCTAGTATAGAGAAGTCAGTCAGCAGAATTTTCTTCCAAGTACAGTCTTATTTCCTGCAGCCATTTAATAGCCATCTGGATTTTTGCAGCTGAGATCTAATAGACTCTTTACAAAGAAATGTAAATGCACCTATATCTGCTGTCAGATATAATACAGATATAATTCATTGGAGACTCCTTCATTTTTATTCAGTAGAACAGCTGCTCTCTTCATTGGAGCCCACAAGTGAGGCAGTTTTTCTTCTCATGGGTGAGACTTTTGGGATTGCATGCTAAATGGCAGCTGTCAAAAGTTGATGGGCTACAAATACAACTTATTTCCTTCTCATCCAGCTCCACACACATAACAAACTGTGCCAAAAAGGCAGGGATCTCTTGACAAGCATCTACTTTCTTGTCTAGGGCTTCTGAAGTTAAGCAAAAGGCCACATTTTGGTCTAAAAGCTTTTGATTAGATTTCTGTTATCATTAACTTCCAGATAGTGCCAGATAGCCTAATAATGGGATATTCTTATAATTGGCGGGGGGAGGGGGATCCTGAAAAAAATCAAGTTTAGATTTTTTTTTCAAATTTTCTCTCAAAATTTAAAAGAATAACATGCATATCAACCAAACAACACTGCTAACAAAACGATAAACCCTGGTAAAATACTGTGATCTTATACCAAAATTATTTATGGTAGAATTTCTTTTAGAGGGAATGAATTTGAACATACCTGGAACAAATTCTGTCAGATATTCAAACCACTGTCTGATTGTAGAGTCTCCAAACAAGTAAATAAGTTTTCCCTGTAAACATTCAGTAATCTCTGATGACTTATTAAAATGCCGAACCAACTGCTTCCTTTGTTGCCATTCATCTTGATAATAATAACCAGAAGGAAATACATCAGAGCTATGAGATCTTTCTGGACTGTCCATTTCTGAAAGAGAACATTTTGAATTAATGAACAGAAATGAGGAGACGTACATTAAAATTGTAGCTTGAAACAAAATAAGTGATCACATACGAGTCTTGCAAAAGCAGTTTTATAACTTTAAGTATACATACCTGCAAAATTTACATTGTAACAAAATACTACAACATCCATGTTCCAAAAAGCTATTAACGCATTTTATCTTGGAAAACTGCACTGGCAGATGAATTTTTGGACAAGCATGGAAAATTTTGAGTTATTGTATACATATTCATCTGTATGGAAAACTTAACTGAATCTTATGATTGCAGCATAAATAAATAAACAAACAAATAAGCAAGGCAGATAGTAAGTTGACAGACATATATTTTAAATATACATTTTCAAAGCAACATGCCACATGCAACTGTTTTCCTTCATATATGTAGGAAGTCATAAGATATACACCACCTAAAATACAAGCCTCTAGCAAAAAAATAAATATGATAAATGTAACACTATTTATGTTTATTCTAATTGTTAATTACAATCATATTATTTTAAATTGACCATCTTTGATATGTTTAAAGATGGTATAACAGAATTTTCAAGAATGCACTTTTGGAAATTTTATCCATATTTGTTTATTTATTTTATGTATTTGTTACCCATCTCATAACAAAATGCCTCCAGGCTGCTTCTAACATTCTAACAATTTTATCCATAAATATACCTACATTCTCAATCATTTGTAGTCATATAATAGCACCCTACAATATCACATTAATGAGAAGGTCTAGAGATCTGAATTCAAAGGGATAAATATGATTCAGATATAATATCCAACACAAGGGTGCACAGTTGGCACTTATGGAATCTTCTCCTGGATTTATACAGCTGCTACATGGCTGCTGTGAAGGAAAATAAATGTTTTGTTTAAATTGTCCCTGAGCGATTCCACATACATGCCAGCACATGCCAAGTGTCCTTTTCAACAGAATTGTTGCTTCAACAAAATGAGCAAGATAGAAAACATGAATAATTTTTCATACTTAAACAGTTTCTCATATGATACTGAAAGACTTGATGGTTGAAGTTCATAAGAACAAGTTTAAATAGTATACAGCAAAACTTTCAAACTGTTACTTTACCTGTATGCCCCAAGCGTCTTACAATCACAGTATCAGGCCCGATGGAAGGTATTGGCATTTTTATATTCACACCACTAAAGGAAGGGGGAAATTTTTTTAAAAAAAATCTAAATACAAAATTCACATTTGTTTATCATTACATATTTAGAAACAGGTGGCATTTTAACTTGAACACTATTGTGTCACTGACATGGTTAAGTCTTCTTCTGAATATAGATATCTCAATATGTATAGGGCTATAGATATTCCTTCCTAGATGACAGAAATGGATATTTCCCTCTGATGCAAAAGCAAAGTTATCTGAAATGGCTTCACTAATCATAATTGGAAAACTCCATATTCAAGATTCATGTTGAAAAGTACAAATCATATCAAAGCAAATTGATTTAAAAGATGACTTCTCTATCTTAATAACATTCCATTGTATTTTTCACTGCTAAATGTATTTATTACCAATATGATGCATCACTTACATTACTATGAGGCTTGTCAACAAGATCAGCTAATAATTGCTTCTTTTTACAATAAAAACATGCAAAAAAAGTCATGAAAGATATTTAAAAATACATGTTCCTGAAAGGAACAAAAAATGTTTGCTATTTTTCTTAAGCATGTACACTAGCAAAATTTATATTAAAAAGAAATGTCTGCAAGAAAATGTGTGTCTACAAAGCATCTTGGGTAGAGTGGTTTAAAATTAGTGATAGTGTTTAGGGAAAGTTTCAAATACAAAAATATTTGGATTTTTAGAAATTAATTATTTTAATCTATTTAGAGAGAAAAGCCAATAATTTCCTAGTAACACAAAGTAAAAAGACTGAACATGCAAAATGAAACCAGAGGTACTTAGGCCCAAAAGTATTATTATTTAAATACTAAGCAGATTTTTCTGATTCTCAGGGATGAGAAAAGAATGGCCCAAAGTCTTCTGAATCAATAAATGAAAGGAAAAGGTTTAAAATTTAAATCCTAGTGCACAGATATGGGGCTTAATCTCTTGTGTTTTGCAGTATGGCAGTCATTTAGCTTTTATCCATGGGCCGTCAGACTTTTGAATGCAACATAAATACCACAATTAGGCTTAATAATATCATAGACTTGCAGGGCCAGCACCAAAGAGGCTCATTACAATTTCATTGTACACATGTTGTGCATTGACAATAAATGTTTGATTGATTGATCTACTGCGCTTATCTAATTTATTATTTACACTAAAACAATTTATTTAACTGGGTACTGTCTGTAAAGTTCCTACTATAAAGAAGTTCCTGAATATAAGGCTGTTATCTGAAGAGCCACACTTTATTGCCACCATTATCAAAACTAAAAGTAGAGTATAGTGATAGCAACAATGCCCTAAGATAATGGAGTTGTTGAAAATTATGAGCCATAAATTTGGCACTAATATGCTCTCTTTTATACTGTTCAGCAAATTAGAAAGATTGTAGCAGAACCATTTACTGTAGATGTTTTGCTTATTTGGCATTTATTTAAAAGGTCAATTTCAGCAGAGTAAAAGGAGTTCAGGAAGAGTCTTTCACCATCTCACATTTTAAAAAGAAAAGAGCCAAAGTAACATTAATCTATACAAAACAAACATTAAACATAGAGTCTAAGAAAACAAGTACCTTTGGAAAAAGTTACTCTCTTCTGAAGTTAAAAGGCCCTTTTTATATCCCCCTTTAAAATGGTTGATCCTAGTAGCACAGGAGAGTCTTCTTGGCTTGTAACAAAACCACGGTTCTCCTGTATAGCTATCTGTAAAGTTACAAACTGGCATGTCTCCAGGCAAACACACATTGCATATAGTAACTTCTGAAATCCTTCCTGATTTGAATAAGCTTTTAAAATAGGCCCTGTCTGGTTTTTCTTCTTGTAAACGTTGAAGGAGTTGGATTCCTTCACTAGGATGAACCAAGGACACAGATACTGTGACAGCCCCTGGCCAAAGTAAAGTGAAAAAAATTCTGTATGATCCATTCTGATAATCTACAGTTCTTCCAATGGCTCCTGCTTTCAGATCTGCAGAATGAATTCTTGACTGAAGGTAATCGCCACCATATCGCTTTGGGTTTCCTTCATAATCCCTCATATGGACAATCACTTCCAGCTGATCACCAACTTTGAAATTTGTATGATTATTTAGTATAATAAAACTGCTATGGGAAGGATCAGTACTCCTTACAAAGGGGACTTTGTTCTCAGGAGGTTTGGCCCACTGTAGAGCAGCAAATAAAGATTCTTCTTCCTCTTGTTCAATGTTGGACAAAACTTGTTGCTCATAACCACAGTACAGCTTTCTGCGTGTTCTAGTTGTATGCAACGAGGATTCATTGTCTTCTACCAACCACTTTAAACCTGTGGTATTGAGATTCTACAAAAGAAAAAAACTTTCAACAAGAGTTGTAGCAATAGAATCATATCTATTATATTTATTTTATTAGCAATTTCAGCAGCTTCAAATCAAAATGGTTTGTAAGAAATACCATGCAACTGCAATTGTTTTTATCTATCCATTAGTTATAAAAAGAATGTTATATGTATGTGGAATTACAGGCTGCATTAGTTCTGTAAAGACTTTATCCATAGTATTTAACATATCATTATACCAGTCAATTCTAATACTCTTATTATATTAAGAAAGAATTAGCATCTTCTATTTTCAAAGCTGATTAAAAATCCTTAATTATTGTTTTTTGTTTGTATGTTATGTGTGTATATGTGATTAGGAAAGAGCCACTGAAATAATCTCAGAATTGTTATTTTCCTCTACCCTGCCACTACCTTTTTTTCTTTCATCTTTTCTTTAATCTCTTAACCTTATTGTCTATAAAGGACTTGAGTTCTTGCTGAATCTGCACTTTTATTCTGAAAAGTATTTAGCCTTAGTACAATATTTCCTACTTACCTACTTCATATAAAGCAGGGGTGTCAAGCTCGCATTGTCATGTGACATATTACAACTTCGCTAAACTGGGTTGTGGGCCTGGCCAGCATGTGACGCATCTGGCCCGCAAGTTTGACACCCCTGACATAAAGGAAGAAAAGCAGGTGAAGGAGAGGTCATCACTTCATTTATTTCCTAGTAATTAGCACCTAGACATGAGTCGTTGATGATGAAGTTTATTGAATAGGCTGTCCCTAGAACTGTGAAAGGATGCAATATAAATTGTGGCAGGGGGCTTAGGATCCTGCAGGCCTTACTCACCAATCTTAGCCAACTCTCCATGGATTCCAATAAAAAATCACATAACTTTTGGTTTTGTTCTTCACCAAAGTTAGAGGACCTGAAGCAATATTTTAGCAGCAAATGGTGTTTGGTGATTTGACAAAAATGTATGCATGGTGGGGGGTTTTATGTGATGATTCTTTACATTCTGCAACACATTCAAAGTCACTGAAAACTATGTTACTTATCATGGGAAGACCTGGATGATAAGAAAGAAGAACTTTCAAATTATTTGGCTACTCCTTGAGAGGGTTAAGTAACTTACCTCTAGTTGATAAAAGTTGTGGGCTAATGCCAAGATAGCTAACAGTACCAGAAGGAAGCACAAAATATGGGTTTTGGAGCAATGAGGCCACATGATCCCCTCATCTGTTTCTTACCCACATAAGGTACTGCCACATTGCCCATATTCCATAGGTTTCAATTTCACTGATATCCAGCACCACATAAATACTGTATCATCAAGAGGCTTCTATAACACCACCATTTTCTGTAAAGAATTTTAAACTTTTGTTTAGACCTTGAATATAGCTAATAGAAATATGTGTACATCTGAGAATCAACAATATTAGAAAGATATATAAGTAGCCCTCAAGCTGTAACTACTTTTTCAGAGATATTTCAAATGTACAATGTCACTGAATAGAATAGAATAGAATTCTTTATTGGTTAAGTGTGATTGGAAGGAATTTGTCTTGGTGCAAATGCTTCCAGTGTACATAAAAGAGAAGATACATTGGTCAAGAGTCAAGAATCATCAGGTACAGTACTTAATAATAGTCATAGGGTACAATAAGCAATCAAATCATACTTGGAAACAGTCAATATAAAATTAAATATAAAATAAATATAATATATAAATATAAATATAAAATAAAATTGACAAATTTACAGTCATACAGTCACAAGTGGAAGGGGATGGGCAATAAGGAGTAATGAGAAGATTAATAGTAAAAGTAATGCAGACTTTGTAAATAGTTGGACAATGTTGAGAGAATTATTTGTTTAGCAGAGTGATGGCGTTCAGGAAAAAACTGTCCCTGTCCTTTCCAAACTCTCTGGAGTTTGCAGATGATACAACAGTGATTTGTCTCATTCGAGACAACGACAAATCTGCATACAGACGGGAGGTTGTACGACTTGCCTCATGGTGTAACCAGAACAATCTGGAACTGAACACACTCAAACCGTAGAAATGGTGATAGATTTTAGGAGAAACCCTCCCATACTACCACCTCTTACAATACTAGACAACACAGTATCAACAGTAGACACCTCCATATTTCTAGGTTCTATCATATCACAAGACCTAAAATGGACACCTAACATCAAAAACATCATCAAAAAAGCACAACAAAGAATGTTCTTTCTGCGCCAACTTGGAAAGCTCAACTGCCCAAGGAGCTGCTGATACAGTTCTACAGAAGAATTATTGAATCTATCATCTGCACCTCTATAACGGTTTGGTTTGGTTCTGCAACCCAACAAGACAGACAGAGACTCCAGAGAGTAATTAGGACTGCAGAAAAAACAATTACTACCAACCTGCCTTCAATCAAGGACCTGTATACTGCACTGTAGAGTTGTAATTGCAGGAATGTTCCAATCTCGGATGGCAAACCTCAGATAAAGAATGTTCCCAAGCAAATACAACTCAGGCAAACAAAGTCACTAATCTAAAGGAGGATTAGAGAGAGGAAGTAAACATATGTTAGACTTTAACTAGAGATAATTAATTGTATTAATTACTGTGCCAAACAGTAATGAAAGTTAAGCAGTAACCAAAGTTAACCAGTGATGGAGGATAACTAAAAATGTGTATAAATGCAAGACTAGACTCCAATAAAGATCATCATGATTCAGTTGTTCATGATCAAACAACTCGACTGCGTCATTACAACACTGCACGAGTCAAAAACAGCTGTGAAGACCCCTCACATCCCAGACATAAACTGTTTCAACTCCTACCCTCAAAACGACTCTATAGAGCACTGCACACCAGAACAACTAGACAGAGGGACAGTTTTTCCCCGAATGCCATCACTCTGCTAAACAAATATTTCCCTCAACACTGTCCAACTATTTACAAAGTCTGCACTACTATTACTATTAATCTTCTCATTACTCCTTATCACCCATCCTCTCCAACTTGTGACTTTAAGACTGTAACTTTGTCACTTGTATCCTTACGATTTATATTGACTGTTTCCTAGTATGATTTGATTGCTTATTGTACCCTATGACTATTAAGTGTTGCATCTTGGGTCATGACGAATGTATTTTTTCTTTTATGTACACTGAAAACATTTGCACTAAGACAAATTCCTTGTGTATCCAATCACACTTGGCCAATAAAAAAATTATATTCTAGTCTATCATTTGTATCATTTGTTTCTGTACCCTAGAAAAACACTTGAGCTCCTATTAAAAAATGATTTTTTTTTTGCTTTATCTGCACACTTGGTGATTTGTACTTTTTGGCTGGACAAAGAAGGTTAAAACATCTCTTTCAAAGTCTTAGATTAATTTCTAATCAACTCCCCATCAAACTTGTGGTGCTTGAATTTCAAGGCAATATTCTCATGTTCTGCATGTGGTTGGGGGCATATGGCAAGCTACTGTGACAAACAAGACAAGGAAGAGATGGGTCTTTGCTCTGATATAATATGGCTCTCATGTTTTTATGAGTTTTGTCTTTCTTGACTAGTATTTAGCTACAAAAGAAAAATGAAACACAACAAGGATGGAACCAGTTCTCACCATTTTAGATTCCTCTGTAAGCATCTTTTTGTATTTCCCTGTGGACAGTTGGAAATTATTTGTCCTTCCCTAAATCTAACACTTGGTGAAGGAGAAGAAATAATGGGGCAGGACCCAAGTTAGAACAGGCTAGCATTCCCCCTTCCTCCTGCACAATTAATTTCAGTTACTCCAAGGTTGCACTGAAATCCCTTTTGTGTTAAGTCCATTCACTGTCCACTAAAAATGAAATTTGGACTTCTGCTCTGAGGACAAAAAAATCAATATAACATGAGATGCTCGCTGCACAAATTGTTTTCCTTTCGGTGGAAATTCATCACAAACAGTTCAGAGAAACCCTAAGGTCATCGGTCATTGCAGCAAAAAGTAAAACGGGTTAAAGCTCAGTTCGGTCATAAAGTTCACCTATTAGATCATCATTTTTGCATCATTTTTAATTCAGCCCAGCTAACATGAAACGAACCATTTCAACGACCCTCAAAGGAGAGGATATGATCACCTTGCTGATGACTGGGGGGGGGGGGGGGGAGAGAACCACAGTAAAACCAGAAAGATGCTGTACCGAATTTGCAAGCAAAAACGTTTTCAATAGCACCGTTAGCCGACATCGCAAGTCGCTCCTCAGCAGGTGCTGCACTCGTCGCTTCCCGCACCATTTGACTCATTAACGGTCGTTCGTTCGAGGAGGCCTTCTCGTTGATCCGATGGGACCTACCCCCCACCCCCACCCCCTCTCCCGACAACAGAAAACCGCTCACTCACAGCTACAATCCTGTGCCCAAATCACCACGCCATTGGAAGGAGAGCCGAGATGCAAAGCAACGCATTTATGCAGCAATTCGAGGCGACTGAATCAAAATCCGCATGCCCGCCTCGCCCACTTCCTCTTTCTCTTATCTGGTTTGATAGTTGGATATCTTCCGGCCGAAGGGCTTGAAAAGGCGAAGACCCCGAGGCTACCGATCGGCTGCTTTCGCTCCGCCTTCCGCTGGCCGGTTTGCTTTTATTGCGCAAGCACAGGCCCGGGTGGTCGATCGCTGCTTTGGTATTTTAAAGCAGAAACAATTCTAGCTTCTTCGGACTTGAATCGCTGCTGTGCGTATTGTGTTTGGCAAGTGGCTTGTCTCCTTCCTCCGATGCTCGGGCGGCTTCTTCTTTCGTTCCATGCTTCATTTTTTTGGCCTGCTGTCTAAACTGAATGGAGCGGTTCCATTAAATGTATTTCGGGTCCGCTCACTAACTCTTTATAAAAGACGTTATTTGTGGTAAAGTTAAACGTACTCTTCAATTTCTGTTTCGTACAAACACGCTATGGAAAGCCAAAGAGCATATGCTGAAAAATGCACTGCTAAAATAGTATAAACCGGCATTGTATAAAACAGCTTTAAGATTTGTGGGAAAACAGACCTAAGTTCAAACGTCATTATTTTTTATTTTATTTGTCAATCGCTTACAAGATAATAGGTATAACAATAAACATGAGTGTGAATACGGGAAATAGGTACGAATAAATGGGGACAATAGGAGTATTGTGAAATAAAAGGTTGACTAAGACCCACCAAATATTTTGTTTATAATTAAAAAAAAAAAAAAACTAGGAACATTGTCTTCTTCACTACTGAGCAAAAATGCAGTTTTATCCATCAATTACCATTTAAAGCTTTCCAGTGAACATATTAATCAGGAAGCAAATAAATCATTTCAGACTTACAAGCATCTCATAATTCAGAATACTTTATTACATCAAAATAAATTATTCTCAAATGCAAATTTTCAAAAATTGAAACATGCAGATTATATTTTTAATCCAGATTATAAAAGGTATATTACAGTCAGATTAAGTTTTCTGTAAATAAGTTTTTGGCTGAGCAAATTACAATGATCAATTATGCAATCATGTTGCCTTTTTGCATTCTAGAGAGAGCTTGTCATGGACATGTTTTTTAAGTAAAATCTTTTTAAGAGTGTTTTTTCCCTTAGTAGTAGTACTCTTTTTGACAATGACCTGGAAGTTTTTAAATTCGTTAACAAGCATATGGCTTTGAAGAGGTCATATGGAATTTACCCAGTTTGTGAACAGTGATCACTTTATCAATACTGATTATATGAAATTAATAAGGCCATATTTTTATTCAGTTTTAACTACACTTAAAGATAATAAAATTGTGCTTATGTAAAAGTAGAATTCACTGATTTCAGTAAAAAATCTCTTATGTTAAAGACTACAGCCAAAATATTGAATCTGTAAAGATTTATATTTACACAGACCACACACAAACACAAGCAATAAAAACCAGCTTCTTCATATAACAGTAATCACAAAGTTTTACTTAGAGGAAAATAAAATAAAAAAACACAATTTAATGTATAGTTAAGGGTCCATTTATACCCTTCCTAAAAATAGTTGTAGTAGACTGTCCCCAAATTTGTAACAGATTTGGGATAGTTACAAGAGAGAAACATAATTGATTTCTCTTGAATCAGCAGATCAAGACCAGCATTTGATTCCACTTAAAGATTTTCCTAAAGAGAGGATATAATCGGAAAAAAACATCTGATTTGTAATATATTATATAGCATGTGTTATACTACTTATAGACCAATATATTGTCTTGACCTCTTTGCTAGTTGAGAGGAAGAAAGGTTTCCATTTCCAGAGAAAGCAGAAGTGAGTATTTAGACATATAACACATAACAAAAACCGGAAGGTGGAAAAATTGTTCCTCTTCTCCACTTATTCCTTATTTCTTTCCCATTGCTTATTTCAATAAAAGGGTCCATGGATCATGCTAGTCAATAAAGTCTTTTTAAAAGTTTAATTTGTTTTATTCATTTGTCATGCTAAATCCTAAAAGGTGTACAAACAACAATTTCTGAAATACGCAAATCTGAAACTAAACAAACGACACTATGACTTAATGTTATGTATAAATTGAGATGTTAATTCAGTTATCTCGGGATGAGTTTTGTATATAAATTTAAGTTTTTGTAGTAATGCATCAACTTTCTCTCTTATGTATCCAGTAAGAATCCAATGACAATTTGAATCAAATAAAATTGCATTGTTTAATTTATATATATATGTGTGTGTTTTCTTAAGTTTTCGTGGGTACTTACATGTATGGTATTCAGCTTTGTTCGGGTATTTTCCCATGTCGTTATAGTTGTGCTTATCAGGCTTCTTTATTGTGTTCGTCTGGAATATATATATATATATATATTCCAAGATAAAAGCAAATGTATTTTTCCTCTCTATAATGATGTAACTTTTTCTGATAACAAAAAAATCACACGTAATCATAGGAAATAATCAAAATATGTAAATATGTAAAACTAACATTTTCAAATGGTAAGGAGTATTAATTTTTTGATTTTGCACATTGATAATGAATAAAATAAAGGCTTTGTGTATGTAGGTTTTGAAACTCCAGTTATATATAATCACAATACAATCATTTGGAACCTTCTTAGAAAACTGGTCTCATAAACTCTTTTAGCCCTTGCAAAAGATGTAGGTTTTTTTCATTATTTTTTTCCAAATATATTGCAGCAATATATATCTAAAAGTATCAATACCTACATCAAAACACAAAAAGCAATGTCCTTACAATCACAATGTATTCCTCTTAACTTCACATTTTTTTTACTCACAGCAGAAAAAAAAATCCTGTATTTATTCCAATACAGAATTTTGCTTAAGTGAAACAAAATTTTGCGCTGTTCAAAAGTCCAACTATGGAGCCCTACTCATTTTTATAGGACAGAAGATAATATTTTACCAACTACAATGTAAATGTATATAAACATACTCTTTAAAACTAAGAGATAAACATAATGAGCCTTACAAAGACAGATATGAAGTTCAAGAGAAATAAGAGATGAATGAAACAAGTATATTTTAAACTCCATTTAAGCACATATTTAACTTTTCCCTTGAAATAGTATTTTCTAACGAATATGTCTGCAATGCTCTAAAAATGATATTTTTAGATTTCTCCCTACAAAAAGAATAAGCTTTTAACTACTTATCTCTATAACAAGTTTAAACGGTGCATTGATTTTATGCTGCTTTAGCATACAGATTAATTTTATAGCACTATGACCAATATATACTAGAACATGTACATATTGAGCATATGTACACGTACATATTGTATACATACAGTACATTCATTCTGTAACACTTTATGTTAGATTTTTAAAAAAAAATGATATGTGAATAACCAAAATATTCAAATGCAATGGATCATTCTTTAAAAAGGTAGTTGTGGTAAAATTCAAGATTTTTTAAGCAATGTTAAAAGTTTTTCCAGCTTTTTTTTTTTTAGTTTAAGATTGGCAGCATAAACTCTTGAATTCCAAAACAGAACACTAAGCTGAAGTTAAATTTGACACAATAACCTATTCCTGTATTTGGCAAAATAATTTCTCAAGGCAATATTTGCAATTGTCTTTTTAAGCCAAGAACAATATATACTTGATTATATACTTAAGTAATAATTGGGACAAACTTACAACTTTAAATATTCCAGAATTTATGAATAGAAAAATATTTATTATTGACAACTATTATTAGTAATGAAAACATACAAAGCATTTACTGATAGAAACAGTGGAGTCTGTAAAGAAGAATTGTTGCTTTATGGCGAAGCAGTAGAAAGTAGGCATTCTTCACATGAATGCCAGAATGAAAATTGTTAATTTATATTAACGTATGACAATACGTTTAGCAGCCAATCTTCCCTAAGCAACTAGAAAACATGGCCACTTGCTTCTTTATCTTAGCAATCTAAGATAATGGTATTAAACAATTATTCTACATATTTTTAGCAGCCATGGCCATATAATGCTGATCTATTTTTAAAACCCTCTCATTTTTTGTTACTTAGGTATAAAATCGAGTTTGTACAGTACTCTATACACATTCTAACTTTGGCAAAATAGGCAAATGATTCCTATCATAAGAATCATTCCTTCATTTGTGTGAGAGATTGCCTCCCTTTTCTTCAGACTGGTTTGTTTTGTTGCATTGTGGTTTTCTTTTTTAATTTTCCCACTGTCCCAGCAAATGAAACAAAGAAAAATGACTTCATAAAAATAGTCCTCTGTGATAACAGGCTGGACTCGACTGTGTGAAATTCAACAGTCACGTCTGTAGAAAAACATTTGGAGTATTGGTGAGTAAACTGTCTGGCACTGTTAAACAAAATGATCTCTACATGGAACAAGATTTCCAAAACTTCCAAGCTTATAATTTAGCATCTGTGTGTCAGCATACATTTTCAGACTATTAGTTAATTTTTCTCTCTCTTATATTAACTGTATGTTGTGTGATGATTGGGACAAACAGATTTCAGATTTGCAGGCAAAAATATGTTTCAGATCATGTAGGGATGCAAAAATAACACTTGTCATCAATGCCTTAGCCTGAAATCTGCCTTAAGGGGTTGCAGATAGGTGCTATGTTTCTGCTTTCTAATATAAACTTCTGCATACTGCCCTTATTTGTCAAAATAAAAATTTATATTTCTTTCTTTGAATATTACAATAAGGATGCACGCTTCGTTTCCTTGGAGAAAACAATTGTTTCATTAAGCTATGATAACTACAATATGGAAAGTACTTAAGAGTCTTCAAAATTATATTTCATAAAAATCTGTTACACCAAACCACATGAAATGTAAGTTACCATATCTACTTGAACCTATCTTGATATAATTTAAGAGTGTAAGTCTAACATTAGAGGATTAACAAATCTGTTAACAAGCCATTTCTAAAAGCAAGGAGACCACATCTCCAAAAATGTGTAGAAATTGGTCTAATTACATAAAAGGTTAATGTGGCTTTTAAATTTTGTCTGTCAGTCTATGTTTGCTATACAGATAGGCTAACAGAAAGTGTCTGTAATGAAGAATCACAGTTTGCTTTTTTTTCTGCTATTTTATCATTTAGATTGAATGTATCAATTCCTTCCTCTGCTAAGGGAAGCACATCCTGAGTGACTAAAACAGTACTACATAAAATATCCTTTTCTTCAGATGAAACAGCTGTATGGGCCTTACAACTTTCTATTCCATTGCTGCAATTTGCCTTTTCATCAGAATCATCTAGTTCTTCAACTGTTTTTAAATATTCTTGGAGAAGAGTATTGTTCTGATCATTGTTCAAATTCTCTTTACAATATTCCTTATGATCACCTGGGATCACAGCATCAGAAAGGCTTCCTGAAAGAAAATCTTCACAGGGCTTGACTGTTTGCAGAGAATTTCCTAGAAAGCCTTCATTTGTTTCTGTCAAATATTTTTCAGAGTTCTGCAATTCATTAAGGATATTTTGGTCTGATATACAGGAATGGAAACCTGAATCAGGATATTCCTGTAAACATTTCTGATTACACATTTCAGAAGATGAACCTAACCAAGTTGAACTATCAATAGGTGAAGGTTCTTGATTTGGTCTAGATGACTGTATTAATAATTCATGTGGACCCAGATTGCTACAGGCGGGAGTATCTTTTTTCCAGATATTACTTAGGTGTTGGTTTACTGAAAGCTGCCATTCCTGGATAGATTTAACCTGTATAAACCACAAAAAAGAAAAGATTATAATATATAATTTCATATGTAATTGCATAATTGTAACATCTCATTTCACACAAGAGAGCTAGTTGGGTCAACTGTAAAACACAGCATGGTTTCAGGAAAATATCTTAAGTCTTTATTCATAGAAATGAATATTTAGAAAAACGAACTTTACCTGATCCCAAAGAAATTTGATAGCTTCCTCTTGCACAAGTCTTTGAAGCTTCTCTTCATTTTTTTCTTTTCTTAACCTGCAAATGATTTTCATATATACATCAAGCTTTAAAAGTGTTGCCTCTTTGATCACTACCTTTGCTGCAATACAATTATTTATAGGTAGTCCTTGACTTACGACCACAATTGAGCCCCAAATTTCTGTTGTTAGGCAAGACAATTGTTAAGTTTGCTTCATTTTACGACCTTTCTTGTCACAGTTGTTAAGTGAATGATTGAAGTGGTAAAGTTAGTAAAAACGACTTTGCTTGTCAGAAGGTGATAAAAGGTGGCCATGTAACTCCAGGATACTGCAATGGTCATAAGTGTGGAAAAACAGTAATAAGTAATTTATTCAGTGCTGTTGTAACTTCAAATGGTATTAAGCACGTGGTTGTAAATTGAGGACTATCTGTACTGCAGTAAGAACAGATTGTGGCGAAGAATGGAGTTTTGGAGAGGACATATATTTACATCAGTTTATCGATTAAATTGGCTAACTTCATCAATTCTGATAACAATACAACTTAATTTCTCTTTGCTAGAGACACTGAAGAGAATTTTTTCTCCTTTGATTATGCTAACAAATAAAATATTTTTGAAAGAATACTCCATTTTATAGTTAGTGCGTTTTGCCTTCATTTGGAAAACAAAGAAGAGCTTAGCAATTGAAGGAAATGAAACAACTCTACCACCCCAACTACACTTATGGTATTGTTTGCAGGTAAAATTTATTCATCTCAAATTATAGCAGATTTTATTTCTATTTTATTATTTCAGTTTACTCAATTTCCTACTTACTTTTGAACTTCTTCAGTTAAATGGGTGATATGTTCTTGCATTCTGCTGAGTCGAATTTCATAGCGTGCTTCCCTGACTCTGGAATGAAATGTTCTTGTATAAAATCCTCTCCAACAGGCCTGAAGCTTGGTGGCAGCTTTATTCATTTCTGTAAGTTCATCTTTCTTCTGGGTTACAGTAACTGATGCATCAGTAGACACTTCTAGAGAGCTAGCAACAGAAACAGATTTGGTAATATTCTCTTCAGGTGAGTGTGACTGCTTAAAGTTACTGAATTTTACATTGTCTTCAGGAGATGTTCGAACATTATCAGGTTGAATATCAGTATTTACTGAAGAAGAAGCAATGTGGAAAATATCCTCCTTTTGATATGCATTTTGAGTTTCTACCATGTCTGCTGACTTGAGGATATACTTTCCCAAAAGCATAGAATCATTGTTCTGCTTTTCTTTGTTCTGCATATTAATATCTTTTGTAAATTCCAAATCTGTATCCCCCATATCTTCCACATCCTCTACATCAATGCCAATTCCATGAAGTTTCAGTTCTGTTGAAGTGGGCGACATTGGAGACAGCCCTGAAGCAACAGGCATAAAAGTAGATTCTGAAGATAGGAGACTACTGTTCAACTTGTCCTCGTCAGTTTGTATATCATCCAAGTAAAAATCCTTAAAAGTATTTCTTTCAGCTTGTACCAAAGTTGGAGAAACATTTTTAACTGCATAAGAATGGTCATCATTGGATTTCGTCACAACCCAGGTATTCTTTTTAATAATACGTTCTGGGAAAGAGTAAGATAAAACACACAATGACTTTCAATATTTATGTATCCTACATGTGTATTTTTGCCAAACATTTACTATCTATATAGTAGATAGTAAACTAATTATAGTAAACTTGACTAATTAGGGATCAGGGCAGGGGTCCTCAACTCCTATTCCATGACATGCCAGCAACTGGGCTAAGCAAAGTAATGAAGCCCCATTTGCAGTATGCAAGCAACTCACAAAACTACGTCCCCTCCGGTCCAGGGAACCGGTCCCTGGTGCCCAAAAGGTGGGGGAGGGCGCTGGGTTAGGGAATAAATTATTGAGGTTCCTCTGGTCCATAGCAATAATATGCATCCAGCTAAACAGCAAAACAAGAGAAGGAAAGAGTTCAGAAATGATTGTTTTCTCTTGTTAATGTAGCAATGGAGTATGCTATACAGAGCCTCCTTCCAATATTCTTTCAGGCTCTATCAAGACCAATGGACAGAATACAAGATGGACTTAGGTGAGCAGAAATTATTAAATGGCTGAAATAATGAAGTATGGTCTATAACCATCTATAAAGTATAGTTAATAATCTTGTAGATAAAACATTTATTACCAAAATTGAAATATATCTTTCAAGCAGGTTAAGACTCATAAGTTAAAGAAAGATATCTAAGTATAAGATATAAATATATTGAAGATTAGAAAAAATATGACAATATTTAAAAATACATCTAGATTTGAGATGCAGTGCCATCTCAAATTACAGTGTAGCCAAGTGAAAGTTCATATGTAAGTAGCATCTAGACCAGTGGTTCCCAAACTTTTTCGGTCCACTGCCCCCTTGGTGCTACAAACTCATCCTTGGTGCCCCCCACCCAGGGATGGGATTCAAATTTCTGTGGGTGTGGCCTAATTTGAGGGTGTGGCCTGCTGGTCACATGACTAGGTGGGTGTGGCTTGCTGGTCATGTGACTGGGTGGGCGTGGCCAGGTGACTGGCAAATCAAATACAAGTGGTCCTCACTTAATGACCAGTTGTTTAGCAAGTGTTCTCATTTATGACTGGCCTCTCCAGAGATACTTGACCTGTTTTTGGAGTTTTGACAGCTTTAGATCAGGGGTCTAAATCTCACCCCTGCCTGTGTGTGTGAGAAAGAGGGAGAGAGAGAGGTTGGATCAGATCTCTCTCTCTCTCTCTCTCTGTTGAATAAGATCTTCAAGATTTCACCTAATAATCTTAGCCTATTACATATTATAAAGTAGTCAAAATATGAACTATAATATTTCTTTGTTACTGAATATATCCATAAGGGGTAGCAATGTAAAGGGTAGCAAGGTAGTAGTAATGTAAGCTTCTTTTGATAATGCCTTTGACTGCCTTGTACAGTTTTGTTATTACATAATTTTCTGTATGGACTTACAGTCTACATAATCAATTTCAATTCAGCACTAAACTCCATTTGCAATATATTTTTTCATTATTTCTAGACCTATTTGGCTACAGCATCCTCCTTTCATTCCTCCTCACTCTGATTCCACAGATATATTTTGTCCCATTTTGTCCACTATAGTATGCCACAATTGAACCATAGTTTAATTTAAATAGTTAAAACATATCATAATATATTTGTGAATTTGAGTTTGAGTGATGCAGTACAGTAATCTAGCAGCAAGGCACACTATGATTATGAACCTGTGTATGTGTACCCAATCACTGATTACAAACATATAGGCAAGTGGGTGAAAAGAGTGATGAAAACCCAGCAGATATGAATTCTTACCACAGTCAGTTATTTCTTGTACATGGACAGGACTGTTTGGCTCATTATTAATGGGTAGTCCTTTATTCAGAGTTGGGGATACAGGCGAATCATTGGCATGGCTCTGATACATCAATTGCCTCTGATGCAACCTAAATATAAAAATTTGAATGATTTCATGACTTAAGAATACTAGAGCAGAGAACCACTCTTCTTTAATATCACAAATGTTAGCAAGAGTTAGCAAAATGCAAATATATCTGCAAATCAACTTTTCTGTTCTTAAAAAGCAGCTTTAAAAAGCTTCTGAATCAAGGCCTACTTGAACAAGTTAAAATGATTATATTAAATTATATAAAAATAGCTCATCAACAATGATATTCACACCTTTGCTTATGTAGTATTTTTTCCAGTTTGGCATCTTCTGCTGATTGGAGTCCAAACATAGTAGTAAGAGGACAAACACTGGCCAAATATTGTACTAACTGAAGGTGCTGGCCTGGTCGGAATGATCTTCCCTTTCCTTGACTGTAAAGCCATTCTGCTTTCAAGCTATACGCAAAAACAATATTAATTGTACTAAACATCTTGAAAGTCCTTTCTATTAGAAACATAAAAGCATAAAGAACAACAATTGAAATCCAGAAGTAATAGATGTAACTCAGAAGCAATAGCAAAAAATAATCAATTGTTGATATATCATAATACATTGGGAGAAAGCAATAATTTTCATGAACTCCAAAATAAAATATTTCAGCTACATACTAAGTATCCAGTGTCTGCTTTTATCTTCAGGAGTACAGTATATAAATTAAAACCAGAACTTGGAAGTATAGTAATTTGCCTTAGAATTGGTTAGACTTAAATATACATAAATGAAAATCAATAAATACATTCATATAACAATAACTAGAATTATTTCATAAAGAACAAATACTCTTTCTACTCAATATTATCCATACATGGTCTCATATTATTCCCTTTCAGAGTAAGTTATGTTATGAAAAGTTCAGGAAAAAAGTAAGTAATAGTAAGTAAAAAATTAAAGATAATAAGAGAAAAGAAAATGTAACTGTTCTACAGTACCTATCTAGCCTTTTAACATTCCGAATAAACATTGCTGCAAGCATGCTTGTATATTGATTTATGTACTACTTTTTGTTTTTAAACATTTCACCTCTTTCTTTTTGAGGTCATCAGTTTTAACCACCACTACAAAATCACAATTTTCTCACTCTTCTCTTTCATTCCTTGCAACCGCTGTACTTTCCAGATTTTAATCACTGTTACCTCATGTATTCTTTCAGTTAGAAAGAATGCTTTCCTAATCTCTTGAAATTTTTCTATTTATTCTTGTTATCTTTATATAGAGGAATAACAATGTTATTGATGATACCAATCATCGGGCACAAATTTAGTTTTCCCATGTTAAACAATACAGGTGAAACTCGAAAAATTAGAATATCGTGCAAAAGTTCATTTACTTCAGTAATGCAACTTAGAAGGTGAAACTAATATATGAGATAGACTCATTACATGCAAAGCAAGATAGTTCAAGCCGTGATTTGTCATAATTGTGATGATTATGGCTTACAGCTCATGAAAACCCCAAATTCACAATCTCATTATAATTATAATATTACATGCAATCAATAAAACAAGGATTGTACATAGAACAATATTGGACCTCTGAAAAGTATAAGCATGCATCTGTACTCAGTACTTGGTTTGGGCCCCTTTTGCAGCAATTACTGCCTCGATGCGGCGTGGCATGAAAGCTATCAGCCTGTGGCACTGCTGAGGTATTATGGAAGACCAGGATGCTTCAATAGAGGCCTTCAGCTCTTCTGCATTGTTCAGTCTCATGTCTCTCATCTTTCTCTTGGCAATGCCCCATAGATTCTCTATGGGGTTCAGGTCAGGCGAGTTTGCTGGCCAATCAAGCACAGTAATCCCACAGTCATTGAACCAGGTTTTGGTGCTTTTGGCAGTGTGGGCAGGTGCCAAGTCCTGCTGGAAAATGAAATCAGCATCCCCATAAAGCTCGCCTGTGGAAGGAAGCATGAAGTGCTCCAAAATCTCCTGGTAGATGGCTGCATTGACCCTGGACTTAATGAAGCACAGTGGACCAACACCAGCAGATGACATGGCTCCCCAAATCAACACAGACTGTGGAAACTTCACATTGGACTTCAAGCATCTTGCAGTGTGTGCCTCTCCATTCTTCCTCCAGACTCTGGGTCCTTGGTTTCCAAATGAGATGCAAAAGTTGCTCTCATCAGAAAAGAGGACTTTGGACTACTGAGCAACAGACCAGTTGTGATGACCTATAGTCTCTCAAAATAACCCCAAACCCAAAACATATGTTAAAGTCCAGTAATGCCTTCAACTTAAACTTCACTGTTTTATTAGGCACAGTTTAAAGTCGCAAAAGTAAAAAGAAGATCTTGCAAACTGTTAAAATAAGAATACTTTTAATCCTGTAACCTCTTTCTTTCTTTCTTTTCTCAAAATTCTTTCCCTCTCTTCCTCTTCTCTCTTCTTTCTTTTTTTCTTTCTTTCTTTTGCTTATTTGTGTATGTATTGTGACTGGTTTTAATTGTAAAAATTTAATAAACTATATTAAAAAAAAAATAAAGTCGCAAAAGTAAATAATGAGGCAGAAAGAAAACCCAAACAAACAGCATTGACGAGAGTTCCGAAGCAAGCCAAGATAACTCATCATAAATTCCAGGAAAATAACAGAGGAGAGTCCATGGGAAGAACACCAGCAAAGATAAACCTCTTTCAAAGTAAACACTTAACTAAACTTTGACTCCAGCAATTCTAACTGCGTAGTTACAAACTTATAAACATAGCTCCCAGCTGCAAGCCACGAGGAGGATCATGGTAATCTCCTCTTGAGTAGACCTTGCTTTTCCCTGATCCTCTCCTCTCTGCGTGACCTAGGATGGATAGGGGATGGGCCTGGATCCTCCTGACTGCTCAGCCAGCCTCTGCCCTTCCCCAGCCTCCTCTACCACCTCTGGAGCCACACTCCCACTCCCTGTTGGCTGTTCCTCTTCTTCCTCAGAGTCAATCTCCACCAGGGGCATGACACCAGTTGTTTTTCTTTAGCCCAGGTAAGATGCTTCTGATGTTTGTTGTTCAGGAGCGGCTTGACAAGAGGAATATGACATTTGAAGCCCATGTCCAGGATCCATCTGTGTGTGGTGGCTCTTGATGCACTGACTCCAGCCTCAATCCACTCCTTGTGAAAGTCCCCAACACTTTTGAATGGCCTTTTCCTGACAATCCTCTCCAGGCTGCCGTCAACCCTGCTGCTTGTGCACCTTTTTCTTCCACACTTTTCCCTTCCACATAACTTTCTATTAATGTGCTTTGATACAGCACTTTAGGAACATCCAACTTCTTTTGCAATTACCTTTTGAGGCTTTCCCTCTTTATGGAGGGTGTGAATGATGGTTTTCTGCACAACTGTCAGGTTAGAAGTCTTTCCTATGATTGTGATTCCTACTGAACCTGACTGAGAGACTATTTAAAGGCTCAGGAACCTTTTGCGGGTGTTATGGCTTAATTAGCTGATTAGAGTGGGACACTTTGAGCCTAGAATATTGAACCTTTTCACAATATTCTAATTTTCTGAGATTGTGGATTTGGGGTTTTCATGAGCTGTAAACCATAATCATCTCAATTATGACACGGCTTGAACTATCTTGCTTTGCATGTAATGAGTCTATCTCATATATTAGTTTCACCTTTTAAGTTGTATTACTGAAATAAATGAACTTTTGCACGATAGTCTAATTTTTCGAGTTTCACCTGTATGTATTCACTGTATAGGTAACTCTTATCTGAAACTGACAAAACCTTAATCAGTTTCACATTAAACTATTTCTTTTGCCTCTTAAGGCAGATATCCAATGCCAGCTCATTCCTTTCTATGTATATTCCCCATTGTGTGCCTGCTTACTCTATTGTAATTCCTTCCTTTCCATCGATTCCATTACATATCAAATGTAAATACAAACATTAATTGTAATTATCCTAGCACTGGGCGAGTAGTCCCAAGACTGTGGGGAATGGGAAAAAGGGGCTATAAAACTTGCCCTTTTCCCCAGCTTCTTGTCAGTTGAGTTCGGGAAAGTTTTCCTACTGATTGGGTTCACCCAGGCCAGGGGCCTGCAATCTGCAGCTCTGGAGCCACATGCGGCTCTTTCAGCCCTCTACTGCAGCTCTCTGTCAGCTGATCCCATCATTGGCTGGCCCCACCCCTCCCCTCCCCCCTCCGTCACTCTTCGCCTGGCCTGAGAAGGATGATGGTGGGGGGTGGAGACTCACTCCATATTCCAGACCAGGTGGTGACTGGGTGGGAGTGAGTGACATCAAGTTGGCCACGCCCACCCAGGCACACCTGTTGTTAAATTATTGGCTCCCAGTGTTTTCTGTGGGAAACGGGTCCAAATGGCTCTTTGAGTGTTTAAGGTTGCAGAGCCCTGACCCAGGCTATTTGGGCTAATAGCAGGCATGATATTCCCCTCTGAAAAAAAAATCGGGGCCGGCCAAGAGACCCCGCGCCGCGAGCCAAGAAATTGCACACACAACACCAATGCTACACACCCCTCCTTTCCAACTGGTCACGTGTGGATCAGCTCCAGAGCTGGGGGTGGGGCCAAGGCCGCCGCCCGGGGAGCGCCCGCTGCTTTCCCTCGGCAGGGTCGGGCGGTGGCATGTTGCACGGAGAGACGGATGGTCCGTGGCTGCCCAGCTCCCTTTTCCTGCCACTCAGCGGCCTCCGCTCGCACTGCCCAGGCTCCGCTCAGGTGTCCGGCTGGGGCTGTCAGGAGTTGCTACCGCCGGCGCGGCTCCACGCGGCTCCAGTCCCGCGTTGCCTCGGGAAGAGAAAGGCAAAACCAGGAGCTGCTGCGCCTGAGCCTCCGGTGCCGCTGCTGCAAAGCGCCGCCGCAGCTCTTCCTTTTTCCCTTTCCCTTCCCGAGGCAATGCGGGACTGGAGCCGTGGCGGCGGTAGCAACTCCTGACTCAGGGAGCCTCCGAGGGGAGGGGAAGGAGGAGAAGAAGGGGGGAAAGGGGGGGTGGGCGATTCCCCAAAAAATCGGAATTCCGATTTTAATCGGAAGAATATCATGTCTGGCTAATAGCCTTGTGATGCTGTAAACATATTTTAGGGCAATTTCTTATTAAAACTTTTTCAAGATTTATTACTATGCTGACATTTCTTTTTGTTTTCTTATTCTTTTGGTATTTCCCTTGCAAATGCTAAATGACAGATATATACATAGATTAATGGTAACACTCAGTTTAATAATGTTCTTACCTTTCTTTCTGAGAAACCATATACCCATCAATTACTTTAAGACTGAGACACCAATTGACAATAAATGGTCGGTAATCAAAACCTGGAATGTTAGGTGTTGCCATCACACAAGGATTGTTCATAATTGAGAGTTGCTCTAGTTTAGGAAAAGAGGTCAAGAAAGAAATCTAAACAGAAAAGGAAATAATTATTTTCGTGATTAAATGTAAAGAAAATTTATAGGCAGAGTAGCACTATATATATATATATCCTACAGTTTAGTTATGTTAGATGCTGGAGGGAAAAATAATTTTATTTGCTTAATTTTATTCGAAGACTGGTATTTTATTTTATTATTCCTTAGAATTTATTAAACATATTTTACTGGAAACTAGAATATTTTCTGCCAATAGCCTTATTGTAATATGGAAGACGTTTCAATTGTAAGTCCTCAATTTACAAGCACAATTGAGCTTAAAATTTCCATTGCTAAGCAAGACAATTAAATGAATTGCACCCCATTTTACAACTTTTTTGTCACTGTTAAGCGAATCACTGCACCTGTTAAATGAAACATGCAGTTGTTAAGCAAATTTGGCTTCTTCCATTAACTTGGCTTATCAGAAGCCAGCTGAGAAAGTTACAAATGTTGATCATATTATCCTGGAATAATGTAACTATCATAAATACATGCTGGTTGCCAAGCACCCAAATTTTGATCATGTGACTACGCTCTAAAGGTCATGTGAAAACTGGCCATAAGTCATTTTTTTCAGCGCTATTGTAACTTTGAACAGTCACTAAACAAATGTGGTTAAGTAGGGGACTACCTATACAGTATTTCTTTTCTTTGTTATTGGTATAATTGGACATGAAGTAAAGAATATAAAAACAAAAAGTCAGCTGCATGATCAGAGATCCTCTTTACCTGCAGAAAATAAACCTAGGTAAGTACCTTGTGATAAGAGAATGAGCCTGATCCAAAATCACAGTGAGTTTTTAATGGCTCAAGAAAGATTGAATGAGGACATTTCCAACGTCATAACATTTAAAAAAATACTGCGCACTGAACTAGTTTTCTTTTTGATAGATTATGAAAAACATTAACCTACTGTCCATTCATCTTCATGAAGGATCCATTTTTGTTTTAATTTCTATGTTGATTAAATGTAAAGCATTTTGTAAGTAATTCAAAATTTATTTTTGTTCATAGTAACTGATGTTTAAATTTCAAAAATATGCTGCAAAGAACCTATGGTACTTTAAGAATCTGTCTCAAAGACTGACATTTCCCCTTCACATTATTTTAATTGATTTAATTGCCAACATATTTAATTACTTAAATAATCATTAATTAAATGACTGCTAGTTACTATCATTTAATTTTAAAATCTACATATCCTTTGTGCCCAAAACATAGCAATAAAAATATAGATGAAAATATAATGAAATGTAACTATAGTACTTTAGGTTGTATTTGATTTCTCTTTCTCAAAAAGTTATTTCATTTTTTTCAAAATGTTATTCTTACCTCATTCAAATCTCTAATTTCATTTTCTGCCAATGAAAAAATAGTAAGGCCTTGAGGTAAACACGAAGGTGCTGAACGCAGTGAAGTGATGATATTTCCATGCAGCAGCAGAGTCTTGAAGAATAGAAAATGGAGAAAACAATATGTAGACATATACTTTAATAATGTGAACTGCTCTGAATATTCATAAAACTGCATAAGGATTATGAATATACAGCTGCACACACACATCCTTGAAATGTTTATTTTTAACACGCAAGTGTGTGTTAAAAATGATATTTCAAGAGAATGTAAAAAGTGTTCAGAACTATTTTCTCTTTACTTTAGTTACATTTAGAAATGTAATATGTTAGATCTAAATGATATTAATTATCGAATAGCTAATCATGATCATTTTAGTGGAACTTCAACATAAATTACAAACTATGTTTTAAAGCATGGTTGTTCAACTTTTGGCTTGGCTTTTGGCTTGACTGGGCTACAGCAAGCGAAGAGCAATTATCTTGGGTCACATAAAAATATACACAATATGTATATAAATAAAAACTTTAAAACTTCATTTTTTTATTATCTTGTGAGGCTGCATTACTAGCTGTCTAGGGCCACATGGTTGGACATGACTGCTTTAAAAGCATTTAAAGAATTTGTTTATTTTATTTGAGACACATTTACACTACATCTTATTCATAGCTACCTGAAGAAAATGCTATTATAAATAAAATCAAAACTTTATTACAGTTAAAGGCCAATAATGCTGCTTTGAACTTACTCCTTAATTAGGAATATTTAGACCATCAAAGAATATAAGCTTAAAAATATATACCTTTAGAGAGGAAAGTCTGGAGATATCCCCTATTTGGGGTATGTTGTTATCTGACAAATCAAGATGTTGAAGAGATGTGCAGCAACTGATCTGGTCTATAGTCTAAAGGAAGACAAAATATTTTTCAGCAACATTATGAAGCTTAATAGTTGCAATCACTTACAATTCTTGATACCAAAGAAAGCATCTTTTACATTAGCAAATGATGCAGTATATCAAATAATATGGCACGGGGTGCCTTGAGACTATGTTGATTCCTGGCACTTACCTGGACAAGTCCCTGCAGGTTTTTTTTGGCAAGATTTCAGAAATGGTTTACCATTGCCTTCCTCCTAAGACTGAAAAAGAGTAACTGGTCCAAGATTACACACTTCTCAGTTTCTGGCCTGGTGCCTTTTCCACTACACCAAACTGGCTCTCAATTAAAACATGCTATAAATTCATCTTCCATAATTAAAAAAGAACATGTATTTTATTCTGGTTGAGTTTAATTTATGACAAAGGTGTATAGAAGTTAAATCATATCTAATAGACATTTGAATGAGTTAGTTTCCGTTTTAATGCAAGTAAATGTAGTAAATTAGGTTCCAGTGTGACAAAAACAGAAAGAGAAACAGGACCTAGATTGTGTGGAGAAAGCCTGTGAACCTAGAAATAATAAAAAGATACAAAAAAATATATCACAGAATATAAGGATTGGAAGGCGTCTTGGAAATATACAAAGCAGGAATCTACTATGTTATTTGCTTGGTCAGAGGAATATTCATCACTAACTGTTGGATGCATATTTACCCTAAAAGTGTCTGTTTTACACTGGATTTTAGTTTTATTCTAATAAGCCTGACTCTACTGATTCTGGAATATAGGATCATTATTATAAAACTTGGGCTCAAAACAGACTTCTGAAATCCTTGATGCAGTCTCAGGGACCTCCAAAAGTTGCTATCAAACAGCTGTTTTAAAAACATAAAATACTTGAATTGAGTACAATCATATTTCCCACAGAGTAAAAAAAAGGTTAAATGGAATAAAATAAAAGCCACTGTACTTTCTAGTGGCTCCACTCGCTACTTTCTGGAGTCCACATCTTTCAAATGTTAAATGTAACTTGCTGCCCAGAAAAAGTTGCACAACTCTGTTCTAGCAGCTTGAATTATAATAAAACAAAGATTTCAAGACTCTGAAATTTGCATTAAATTATTATACATTTGAAAAAGCAGGACTACAGTAGAACTCCTAAAAAGTGAGAAATGTATGTTCAGGCACAGAAGTATAGAGACAATAATGGAAAAAAGGAAAATTCCTCTGAAAACAAACAGAAATAATCTTATACTTTCAAATGTAATTGATTTCTGTCTGCCACAATAACATTCTAAAATAATTTACCTATATCTTACTTAAAATAATTAAATATCATTTCTAATTTTTAAAATATAGAGTTCACTAATGAAATTAAATACAATAATTTTAAAATCTATAATAGGCCACAGATTACAGATAAAGATATGAAAACTGTTAAGAAGGTATTTCCATAAAACAGGTAATAAAAGTATACTTTTTCCATCATAGCAAAAGTTCAATTAAGGAGGGATGTTTATCTCATGGGAAGGGAATTCTAAAGTCCAGATTAACTACAGAAAAGCTTTTTCTCTCTTTTTCTTCAAAACAGTTGCATCCAATAGTATTATTTCACCAACGGAACAACACTTATTACTAGAAAGGTTGTTCTTCACTGCCTACACATTGCCCAAATCTTATCTGAGGTTGAGGGGCTATCAGGATAGCATTGTCAGCATAATGTAGGCTAGTGAAGTTTTTTCCTCCAATTTTAAAATTCTATCCTATCCTATCCCATCCCATGTAATATTACATTTCCAAACATTTTGCCTTAATCAAGTTCCTAGGTATGACATAAATTAAATACAATACTACTATATTGGATTAACATTTTTATTGTTTTAAGTATTTACTTACAATTTCAATTTACAAGGCCACCCACTTCTATACAACCCCTCCAAAAAGCTAAATGCAAGAATTATTTTATTCATTATTTGTTGTTTATTTCATTACAGAAAATTTACCTTTACATTGTTTCCTGCCAGATTCAGCCACTCCAGGTACACTAGCTCTTTCAATCCCTCTACGTTACCAATACTGTTGTGAGGCAAGTTTAACACTCGAAGATGAGTCAGCTTTGCTATACCCATCATCCGCACTAGACGATTGCTGGCTACTGACAACTGCAAGAAAATGGACAAATAGCTTCAATTTTGCTTATAATTATTTTTTTTTTACTGCAAAGTAAAGTACCAACCTCTAGCACTGTGCGAGGCTCCTGCTACAATGACCCATATTTTCATCATTACCTGTTTAAAACTACTGCTAATATGCCTTACGTTGGTCTGACTTTAAAAGCTGCAGTTGTTAACAGAACAGCAGTCTATGTGCTGAATGATCTCTCCCAGTGGAGACACATTTCACTGGTGTTGCAGCCATAAACTTATTTTTATTTATTAATTAAATTTCTATGCCGCCCATCCCCCATACAAGGTGATTCTGAGTGACTTAACGAAGATAGCATTTTGTGTGTAATTTAAAATGCTGATACTAACCTATAAATCCCTACCAGTTATCTGCAGACCTGCATTCCTTTATTGGAAGTTAAGTGTAGTTTAAACCTCCCTTCATATCAGTGTCTTTTGATTGCATCTACAAAAGTTTCATTTTCACAGAATGTGTCTCCCAATAACATTCTGTCAGAAGCTCTTAATTACTTCAAAACCAATAAATATAAGAAATATTAACTAAAACAAAAATAATGTTCTAATGTGTGTACATGGTGTGTGCACATAAAGCTGGAGAATCAAAACATAGCATTGGACTCAAATTCACTGAGCATAACATTTACTCATAACATACAGAATGAAACATTACAATTTATTTTTGCAAGTTTCCCCCCAAATTTCAATAATTTAACTAACAAAGCATATTTGCTCGTATGTATGAAAAAACCCTACCTGCATCAAGTTCTTATAGTTTTCCAGGTGTTCCAATTTAATTAATTGATTTTTATCCAAAATCAAAGTATGTATGTCTGCATTACAGGATAAAGTTGGTGCTAGTTTTTGTAAACTCTGGCCTGACCAATTAATTAAAGAAGCTGTTAAAAAAGAAGAAAAAATTTAAATGTTAAAAAAACAACAGCAAATTTAGAAGACGATATGCAATCATGCGCTATACAATAACTTAGTATTTTGCAATACACTATTTAAACTGGGCACCAATTTCTTTGTTCTTATTTTTAACGTCTGAAAAATCTGTTTTGTCTTTAATAACCTCTGTCAATCTTAATATAACTGAACGTTAGCCTTTATAACATACTCTTTACAGTGCTAAGCATATTTTTCGAAGTGTTCTAACATAACCTGCTCATGCAGGTTCTGTCACATTTCTATGGGGTTCAATTTTAGACACTGACTGGGCCATTTCAAAACACTGAATTTGGGCTTTACCCATTCTATTGTATACATCTCTATCTGAGAACATTGTCTTACTTCAAGATCCATTTGAACTTCATTGTCAATGATAATCATGACAGTCCCTGGTAAAATCTATATATACATAAAGGTGAAATACCAGTCACACATCATCACAAAATCTCCAGAACTGTAAAGCCTACAAACTTGAAAGTTGGCACGTATGTTCCTCTTGGCTTCTAGGTGCTCACTAAGAAAGGATTTTTTGAAATGACCATCAGAGCATTAGTATTTCGTATATTATTAACATACTCTGATGCTAAGGAGTTCTCCACCCCCTCCCCACCTGAAAAGAAATCTGTTCCAAATGCAAAACACAAGCAGAGGAGAAGAGTTTCAGTTTCAGTTTCACTTTCACAGCAGCCACCAGCTTTGGTATGCCCAGACTCCTTGCTGTCTCCTTGCTCACACAGCAAATGCTATTTCAGTTTCCAAACAGCCCTCAACTCTCTCCCACATTGACAGGACACTAGCTAGATGAATACCGATGGATGCTGGTAGACAGAAGCAGAATTTCCCCCCCTTATTTTCTTTCCCAAAAACTAAGCGAAGCATGGGTATTGAGCTAGTTCTCTACTATAAAGCAGAATTCCTGCCTCACTTGATGACAAGTTATTGAGTTTTGAGGCAGGAAAAACCTTACTACACTTTCATATTGGTGTTTATTTTATTTATATTTCATATTTCTAAACCTCCATCTCCCTCAAAGAGGAAAGTTAAAGTTCTACTTTTGTCTCATCAATCTATGGAATATGTCTTTTTAAAAATGATTTTATTAAATATAATTGTACAGATAAAAACAAATATAAAGCACAATGAATAGAAAAATTCCAAGTGTTTAGGAAATAAGCTTGGCCAAGCTTTATGTCCATGTACGCCACATTATAACTGTGGACCTAGTTGACATTCCTCTACTATGCTCATCAGCTGACTTCAAAAACATCAGTTTCTGCAGTCTACTTATGAGCAGCACTTCCTGGACTATATATGCATCATCCCACAATTTTTCCTTTCTTTGGAGAGATTATGCTGGCCAGAATCCATCCTCTGGCTGCCATTATGCCATGTCCACTTCATCAGGGATATCATGTCTTCACCAGAAGTTCAGCCTTAGAACGTTCTTACAAAAATATAGTGTGTGATTCAGCTACTTTTTACAAATGTTCTTTGTTACTAGTGGTGGCCACTTTGCAACCTCCATTACAAATCACATTTTCCCCCCAGAGTTTTTCTAATGGAAGTCACACACTGTGTTGAGCAAGTGTGGCCTACAGATCCACAGACATTATTCTGGGATTCTTTCTGACTTCCTAATTAATGTATGCTGTGCTTTTGCAGTGATTTTGACATACTCATAAATCTTTTTGGGTTCATGTTTCTGGGTATAGATATGTAGAGCTTCACACTTCTATGTTTTTTGTAATTTGACAGGCTTTAGTAACTTGTTTATAAAGATTTTCATGTTTAGAATCTTCTCTGTGATGAGCGGAACAAAATATGTAATTTATTTACAGGGCATACTCATATGAGCCCTGAATTTTACATTAAGTATTCACCAATTCCTTTCATTTAATTAATTGAATGGCAGTGGAGGGGTACTTTTATACTCTGGCACATTGCATTTTGGATGACTAATCATAAAAAGTTCACTGGAATTATTTGCATTTTTTTATGTAGCCTCCCAGCTATCTTTTTACTTTCCTCATTAACTTTTCCTATGGAATCCTATATACAATTGCTTCTAATTTATTAACAACTCTTCTTTGAGTGCAACATCAAGAACTCCATTGTCCCCACTCCATCCCCAGTGTTTTGCTATTTCCATTTTCTGGATTAACAGTAGCGTCAAATCACAGATACCTGTAATTGATCTTTCTAATTCTTCCTTCATCTTCTAAAATAGAAATTTGACAGCAAAATTGGGGTGGAATTTTTGAGAGGTTTTGTGTTTCATAGTTTGTTTCTCAACAAATTTTGGGATGATTAAAGAGTCCCGTTCCTACACTACATGCCTCTTTGAACTAGCTGCAATTAGCTTTTGGGAAGCCTCACCTAGTCTTTGATTTTATTACCCTGGCTAGAGCAGATATTAGTAACATTATTGATTTTATATGGTCCTTTATTTACCCAGACATTCTGTAGAATATGCTGTAATGTTTCCTTTACATTATATTCCAAAGGTTTAATCTGTAAAAAATGCATATACTAAAATATACATTGTCATTATTATCTACAACGGAACACTCCCTTGCTCAATTTTGCCATCCTATGAAAAATAAATGTTCACATATAACAAGTTTCAGCATTAGGAAACAGCTTGTAACCCAACCTCTCCCCCAAAGAGAGCTAAATATCACAATACTAGTATATAATGCCTTTAAGGACAAACGTTAGCTATTAAAGAGAACGATAGTAGTATGTCATCTGACAATTACATAACTGTCATTACACTTGTATTTGATGTGCACATGTAGAAAGAAGGCACAAAGGAATGTCTGGAATTATTTCAATATACGCGTATATACACATATAAAAACCGCCAAGCAAAGAATAAGTGAGGTACCGCTCCTACAAACTACACAAAGAACCAACCGTTCGCAAGGCCTTTCGGGATTTGTAGTGCATTGTTAAAATTAACTCATACTATTAATCAAGACCCAGGAGCATACAAACTACAGTCCCCATATGGCTACGCGCGACACTCAGCGCGCGCCCCCTTACCATAACGGTCAACGAAAAGACTGTGACTTAGCCAGCGTTGCCAAATCGTTTTACCTTCGTCGCTCTTCGCGTTCAGCAGATTTTACTCCTACCTTGACTTGCGCCCGTGGATGGCTTCACCGCCTCAGTCTTCGTTGCGGACACCTCCGCAACCGATGCTGCCGCCATACTTCCCGCTTGCTTCCAATGCTAGGCAACCGTGCTGAGGCTAGATACTGATTGGATAACAAGAAACGCTTGAGGAAAAAAAATGTCAAATATTTTATATTGCGGTACAAAGTTTTCAAGGCTCCTGGTGTCCCAGATAATGAGTTTTATCTACTTTAGGAATTAAACTACCAGCTAATGAAAGCGCAGCACTTCCCATCGTATAACAAACAGCGGGTGTCCCCATCATGCCCCGCGCAAGTATAGAATCCGGTTTCCCATGAGCCTCTCTTTCTCTTATACGCTGGAGGAACCGGTGAGGTTGCTCAGCTGCTACCATTATGAAGTAAGACTCGGGGCCTTGCTTTAATCCGAGGCCATCCTCAGGTTTGGCACATGAAATGGGGGCGGTTTAGGCTTTCTCACTTTGCTAATTTGTTTCTCGCTAACTTTGGAATGCAGGGTCGAGTTGTGCAGCTTCAGTGGGTACAAGATCTACCCCGGCCATGGCCGCCGCTACGCTCGTACGGACGGGAAGGTAAGGCGTAAAAAAAAAAAAAGTATGTCATACTGTGGTTATTCTCTTGCAATCTTTGTTCAATATATGCATGGAAATCATATTTCGATAAAATAACTGGGAAGATCACTGGCATTGTTACATATCCACCCAGTTTTATAATTACAGATTTAATTTTTGGTGGTGGTGTGCCCCTCCTAGCCAGCACTTGGAACAACCTAAAAGCCATATAGTAAATGAAGTCTTACTAAAGCAAAGTATATGTTTTACCTGACTCGCTCAATGGAGCAGTGAAATCCTTAAGGAATCAACAAGTAGATTATTTTACATACCTTGGAAATACTGCAAGCATAGCTGATGGAGTACCGCAAAAAGTAGCATCTTGACTATACTTTTCAGTTTTTTGAAAATGTTTCAAAATAATATTGTTAGGGTTTAGCTAAGTTTTAACTTTTATATTTCCTAGTTCACAGCTAATCACTATTGAAACCTCAGATCTAGAATTGTTTTGAGCTGCTTTGTCAGTCTGCATTAGTACCAAATGCATGTTATGTTAAAAAATAATCCAAATGTTCCAGGTTTTTCAATTTTTGAATGCAAAATGTGAGTCCGCATTCCTGTCTAAGAGAAATCCCCGTCAGATCAATTGGACTGTTTTGTACAGGCGAAAGCACAAGAAAGGACAATCTGTAAGTATTTTGCTGTATTTGTTAGTTTATGGACACTGAATAACGATGGCTGCCTATATTCTTAATAAGAGTAAGAACACCCAAAATAATAATTAATAATATCATAGAAAGATGATATTTATTTTACCTCACAGCTTAAATATTCCTATGTCCCTTACAAACATTAAATTTTATTAAAAGGCATACACGTTCATGTATAGGATGCATACAGTACTTAGATTGACTTGGGATGAATTGAGAGGGGAAATAGACTGGCTATGCAAAACCAAATTACTTGTAAGTCAGTTTACAAGTACCTTAGTAACAAACGATTATGATGTGTTAGAAATAGGTTGTTTTTTATGAGGCTTTTGGAAATTGCCTGAATTTTTTTAATGTGTAGAGTGCCCTGGGAGCTTGAAATGCTCTAGTATTACTTTGTTCTTATGTGCAAAGTTTGACCATTTGTGCTAGGTAGAAACCAAAACATTGCTGGCAAATGATGGTATATATATCACAAAAGAGATATAATAATGCTGTGAGAATAGATTTTAGGGCAGAGTAGACATTGGGTTTTGTTGTAGGTCTGATTCGTGTATACAGTTTCTTTGCTTCAGTTTCAATGGTATATGCAAGTAAGGTCGTCTACCCATTTACTTCAGAAAGTGCATTACTCAGTCTGTTACTAGTGAGTTGTCTATTGATCTTGTTGGATGGGTAATCTGAATACCTAGTCTAATTCCATTAGTGGAGTGTCTCTTAACAAGAGAACCAGAATAAACAGTTGTAGCATGCAGCCTGGCTCTACAATGATAGATTTGATTAAAATTTATGGATGGAAGCTGGAAGTGCATGTTATTTGCATGATGTAAATTAATTATGTAGGTTTCCTGTAAATGTGTGCAGTTTTACTGTGACAAAAAAGTGGCCCTGTTGGAAGGAAAGTCAGTGCTGAGGGTGGTGTTGGAATCCAAGTTGTTGAAGTCATGATAGTATTTGATCATTACTTCAAAACAATGAAATGGAACCATTCCTTTAATTTTCCCAATGTGTAACTTGCATCTGTATAACTACTATTCTCTTTGTTCCCAACCACTGTTTCATCCCACTTCAAATCCTAGTTTAGCTATTCTGTGCATCTAATGAAGTCAGCTGCAGCTCATCAAATGTTGCCTTTTAATAAAATATGTTTACAGATTTATTCTGATTTATTCTGCCACATTTATTCTGATTCTCTATATCTTGGTAAACATACCTCTACATAATTTGGAGAACATGCTTTGCTTAGTTGTGATATAATGTATTCATTATTCATAATTTATATCATAATACATGGCTTTTCACAGTCCATTTATTAAAATATCTTCTGTAACTTTTGATAAAGGATCATTAGTTTAAGTTATTTTGATGGGAATAGGAAATCTGTATGCCTTTTTATTGTACTATTGAAAAGATTGATTGAAGTGTGCGTGTTCTGTGGCTAGGAAAGAAAATCCTTAAGAGCTCTGTTTTAAAATGGGCACTTATAGCTAATTGAAAGAAAAAGCAGTATTCAAGAAATGTTGGCACAATTGTACATCTGTCTAATCAAAAGTAAATCACGTTTTTGGTAAATTGGAAAAGAATTATAGCTTAAAATGTACAGAAAAATAGCTCTAATATAGAGTTGTAGCCTCATGTATTCATGGATGACAGTGCCATCAGTTAGCCAGCCTTTGATATCTTAATATTTTTCTTACTGGTAAGTAAAAGACTAGAATCTAGATCAAGAAAAAAAATCTTTCAATGTGGACTTTAATTATTTTTTAAGAAGTCGATTTTCCTTAAGTTTCAAGTTACCAGCAAATGTGAAATATAAGATAAAAATTTAAACAAAATATTTCCTGGGGGTTGAGATAGGAGTTGTGTGGGAAATTTTTTGAGGTTTTGCAAGTTTGGATACTTTTTTGAAGCAGTTATTTCTTTGCTCAGGAAGAGGTACAAAAGAAACGTACACGCCGTGCTGTAAAGGGCCATAGAGCAATCACAGGTGCTTCTTTGGCTGAAATAATGGCTAAGAGAAATCAGAAGCCTGAAGTGCGAAAAGCTCAAAGGGAACAGGCCATTAGGTGGGTACATTTTATTCTTATTCTTTACAAAAGTATGATTATGATGTAGTTCAGAGGTCACCAACCGGTGGTTTGTGAGAAAATTTTGTTGGTCCGCAGCACACCTGGCTGGAGGAGCTGCTCCGGGATAACCAATGGGCCAGTCTTGTGACTAGAGCTCTGGAATATGGGACAGGCCAGGTAGCTCATGGTGGTACTGGAAATCTCTGCCCTAGAGGGAGATACATGCAACTTTGCAGGTGGTGAATGTGCAAGGAGTAACGCAGACTCACTGGCTGAAATGAGGTAATGGTGCTGTTGCGGAGGGGAGTGGCGCAGGCGGGCCAAAGCAACGGGCGGGAGTGGCAACCCGCAGCTCTTTCGTCCTACTGTAGCTCCCTATTGGCTGAACCCACCAGTGGCTGGCCCTGCCCCTTGCCCTCCCCTCCCAGCCACTCCTTGCCTGGCCTGGTAAGTGTGGGGGATGGGGATTTGCTTCATAGTCCAGAACGGAAGTGAAGCTTCATCTCTTGCTGGGTCTTGCAGGTGTTTCTTCTGCCCTTTTTTTGGTGCTGTGCGCACCTCGGTGGCTCGAGGAGACATGCAACTTCTTCTCAGCCCCGAGACACTGGCCCCATCCAGCCATTTCGCTCAGCCGCTGATGTTGGCGCCTCGATGGCCTGCTCGCTGCTCTTGCAGCACAGTTAAATTTAGTGCGCTTCACAATGGGGAGACAGCATCCCGTCGTCCTCCTGGGGCTCATTACAACGTGGAGCATCAGCCGTAGCCGGGTTGGGCGAGTGTTTCGGGGCGGAGGGCAGGTCATGCGTTTCCCCGAATGATCGAGGTGCATCTAGCACCAAGAAAGGCCAAAGAAGCCCCATGAAGACCCAGAGAGTTCCAGAGAATCAGAATGAGAGAGAGACAGACAGAGATGGAGAGAAAGATGAGAAAAAGATGACACAAAGAGAGAGATCCCGTGTTTTGTTTTCTCTGGGAAATTGGTCCATATGGCTCTGAGTGTTTAAGGTTGCAGAAATAGGCGGCCAAGCTAAGTGCCTGAAGGACCCTATCCTGTCACTGGGAGTCCAGGCGCTTCAGCGAGTGGCGCGTTGGATTCATATTAGTGGTCCGCAGGATTTAAAATTATGAATTTAGTGGTCCCTGAGACCCGAAAGGTTGGTGACCCCTGATCTAGTTTACATCCTTTGCTGAATGTAAAAAATAGACATTTGATTATAGATTTTTAATAGGGGAGATTGTACATTATGTTACTTCATTTGTATGTTCCTTGTCACGTTTAAAGGAATTATGCTAAAAAATAAAACCAATACAGTACAATTTAACTTTGTTCAAAGCACTTCCAAGTCTCCTGGATTAAAAAAAATCAGGATATTAAAAAATACTTGGTGACTTGTGATCCGCGATGGTATGGGTGCTTTCACCCATTTTGTTACAGGCTTAAACCAGTGATAGCTTCACCACGAGGAGATGAATCAAAGCCCTTTTCAGGAAAAGAACTGCTTTAAGACATTTGGAATACTTTGATGCTGCAGCTCTATAGCTGCTTGTTGTCTGAAGATACTATAAGTAGGAAATTATTTAAAGCGGTGGTCGCCAACCGGTGGGCAGTGGCCCACTGGTGGTCCGTGAGAAAATTTTGGTGGTCCGCAGAGATATGTCACCCCCAGAGCACCCCCCCCCAAAGCAATTAATCCAGGCTGCTGGGAACACAAAGCTGTCCTGCCCACATAGCCCGCGGGAACCCTCCCCGCCCTCACTCCTTACCTGGGAAACTTGCCTACTAAACTTGCTATTTTTCCTTTCCCCCTTCCCCGACCATCAGCAGTTCTGTGTGGGGAGATTTAGATTAGCTAGAAAGCAGGAAATCTTGCATTTCTTGCTTTCTAGCTAATCTTTAGATCTTCGCCTCCGCTTTTAAGCAGAACCGAACCTCCCTTAGGACTGAAGCTTCTATTCAGTGCTCTTTTTTATAAAAAATTCAATAATTACATAGTGTGCTGTGAGTTAATTTTGTGAGTTTACTTGCAAGTAAATTTTATGTGACAGACTCAGTTAGCCAATGGCAGAAACACAGATCTCTAAATGAATCTCTGATTCTGTGAGCAACTCAATCTGCCTGCCTGCTTTGCCTGGTTTTGGGTAAAAGTTGCTCTTTTTATAAAAAAAAATCAATATTTACATATAATATTTACATACAAGCCATGCCCAGCCAGTCACATGACCACCAAGCCATGCCCACAAAATAGGCCATGCCCAAGAACTGGTTAAGAAATTTGAATCCCACCCCTCCCTCTGTGTGTGTGTGAGAGAGGTAGAGAAAAAGGTTAGATCAGATCTCCCACCAATGTCAGTAAGCTACCGTCAGTCAAAATTCATATTAGTGGTCCCCCGGATTTAAAACTATGACTTTGGTGGTCCCTGAGGTCCAAAAGGTTGGCGACCCCTGATTTAAAGCATCTAATCATCAAAAGTTAATTCATCTCTACATTTTTCCTTTTCAAGCACTAGGGTAAGGAAAGCATCATTTTAAGCAATTACTAGTATTTGTAAGCTATTGCTACCTAGAATGGGATAAAATTCTTTAAAAATCAGTGCCTCACATGAGATCCTGCAACTAAATTGAATAATTTTGCATATTTCCCTTCTTGATGGATGGCAGGATAGGCAATCCTTTTTGGTTTAGAAATTATACTTTGCCTTTATGCCATATCTGGTGGCTACAGATTATGTGCTTATCATTGACAGAATTTCATAAGAATGGAGAATAGGGTTCAGGGGAAATGGTTTGATTGGAGGATTTAGAGATTAAAGGGAACCTAATGTTGCAGAAAATATTGGGCCCATCTATCCAGGTTTAGGCTCTTAAAGGTTACAAATGGAATTATGAGTTGTTATATCTTACCAAATGTCTCCACACATCCATAGACCACTATTCTGCTTTGCAGCAGGCATGTTTTTTCATACATTTTAGATGTTAAGTAATAAAAATGTTGTTCTTCTCATTAATTTTCTTGCAATATAATTAATAGAGCTGCCAAGGAGGCAAAGAAGGCAAAGCAGGCAACTAAGAAAACAGTACCCTCTACAACAAAGGTAATGGCTGGCAAAGGCTATAAAAACAAGAAAAAAATTGTATCACTATTTGTAGATTCTTATTTACAAACAAAACAATTGTGACTTTGAAATCAAATTGTCCTGTGTTCTAGTCTCATCATCAGTTTGTGTCAGTGGGAGGCTACATGGGTGACTTGAAGATAACCAATTTTTTTGCTTCATTTATGCTTCACCTTTCCTTTGGTTGCCCAAAGTGATAGTATATTTTATACATAAGGATATTTTTATTTTCATAACAATTTTCTAAAGCAGATTGAGCTAGGAATTAAGAATGAGCATTATGAACTTGAACTTTGAGTCTCTCGTATTCGAATTTACTATCCAGATGCTACATTGCTTTTCTGGTCCAATTGTAATCCAGGTTCTCAGTGGGACTCTGCTTTGAGTACACAATTAAAAGTATCTAATCCCCAGTCCTTGATCAGGGAAGAGGGGCTGCAATGGCATGGTACTTAAGATGGTAATATAATTGTTTCTCAAAAGCTGCCATATGAAATTCCTTTAGTCCAGTGGTTTCAAAGATGATCATAATGTAGCATTTCTGACTAGATTGAAAACTTTGTTCAAATAATTTAGAACAGAGCTTCCCAACCTTTCTGGCCCGGCCCAGGTGTGGTGTGTGGAATGGGGTGGGGAGAGAGCATGGTTCTGCCATTTCCGCAGCCCAGTTCTGAATGGTTCAAATCCCAGTAGTAGTCCAGGAGTTGGGGACCCCTGATTTAGAGACACTTTGTTCTTTCTCATTCACTCACTAGAAGTTCATCTATAGGCATTATGCTAGTTTATACTAACTAAACTGTCTTAATATGTAGCATACCCTCATGAGTGTCTTGTTTTCTATTTCCAGGCACCAACAAAGACTGCACCAAAACAAAAAATTGTGAAGCCTGTGAAAGTTTCTGCTCCTCGTGTTGGTGGGAAACGCTGATTTGTGCTGATTTGATTATGTCAATAAAATTTTGACTATAATTGGTCTATTATCTTTAAAAAGAAAGTTTCAGGTCATTTTCATTACATAAGTTATGATGATGAGCAATAAAGTTGAAAGCTGCTATTAGCAAAAGATATACAGGAAAGTCCGTATTTAAGAAATTAGTGAAAAATTTCAAAAAACTTAAATTTCAATACATATTGGTAAATTCATTTGAAATTCATATTACTTTTGTCTAATCTGCACAAATGCCCTACGGACTGGTAAGGGAATTTTGCCACTGAAATTGATAGTTTACTCAGGATAAATTTCATATTTCAACCATCTTACCAGCAGCTGATCAGTAAATAGTTGAACATTGGACAGCCATAACTATTTCTGGTGAAGCATTGCAGTGACTTTTTCTACCATGAAGTGAACTTATGACTACATATCTCTGCATGGAGATGGAATAATGGCAAAACTTCTATGGCAGTTTTTTTCCAATGGAAGGGAAAATCCATGATTCTGAAATTCCTACTGAAGTCTTAGAATTGATGGAAATCTTTAAAAAAATAATTCAATATATTTTTATAATCAAGAGAGATAACTATCAAAATTGTCATTTTAAAGCAATTTTATTTATAATTTCAGAATATTTGTTGTGAACTCAGCAGCTAGATTTATAAATGTGAAAAGACTAGATCCTTAATAATTTTTAAATACCCTTCCTTTTTGCAACCCTGTAGTCCCTATTTAGGGCGGCACGATAGAGCTGACCATTTATTGGCCAGATACTCATGTTGACACCAACATGGAGTTTGCAAGAGTTTTTTTGCTTTGCACCTTGAGAGAAACATCTGTTGCTACCTAGGATTGAACTCAATCTTTCAAGTGGAAGCCAAGGAACCTCTGCACTATGTCACTATACTGCTCTGTACTACAGCTCCTTAATATAGCCTTAAAATATTAAATATGCAATTTAGTCAATTGTATATTTTCACATTGTAAGATTGCATTTTTTCCTAAGTGCATAATGTAACCATATACATATGTTGGTCGCCAAGGTAAAATGAGAAATTTATATTGCACCAACCAAGTTACTGATAAGAATCCTGGTTTACAATATATTTTGCAGTGTTTAGATTTAATATTGACAGACTGATAGTGTTCATTCTTGTTTTGTTATTTAGGATGATAAAGCCATTTTATGGGATGTTAATGGCAAAGTAATTTCAGAAATACTATTGAAAAATGTGTAAGCTTAAAATGAAACAATTTTTATACCTCCAACTACGAAATCTCTCCCAGAGATGCTTACGTATTTAAAAAATACTTTTGTATATTTTAGGCTATAGCATTCAGTGTTAATGCAATGTAAACTATTGTAACTTAATAGTGATATCTGTGAACTTGGCTCAGATCTGTAGTAATTTGATAATTGGATCAAACTGCTGCAGTATACCAGTTTTACAAAGGCAAGATGCACTAGGGAGAATACAGAAAAATTATGAACATAGCGACCATCATTTATCAGCTGGAAGAGTCAAACCCAGGAAACTCCCAGTCACTTGTACAACATCTGCCTAACAACTTTAACATTGTAGAGATTCTCAATCATCCAGGTCATGGTTGTCCCAAACACACTTTCAGGAGGCAACTGGAGTTTGTTTTTTCTTTGAAGATGTTTCACTCTTCATCCAGTAAGCTCTCCACTACCCTGTCAGAGCTGAAGAAACTTCTTTGAAACGTCTTCAAAGAAAAAACAGTCCAGTTGCCTCCTGAAAAAGCACTTAGGACAACTTTTAACGTTCTCAGTAGAAAGCCAATGCGCCTCTGAACGCAAAGGATGACATAAACAGTACAAGGTCAGTAGTGGGCATTCCTGAATAATAATCACATCTCACAGCATCAGCCAGGACTCTATAAATGGAGCATAGTCTCTTCCCCTCTGTGAATACGGGATTCCACATCAAATTATCACATTGTGACTGGCTTATAGGGCATATGCCAATCCAGTATCTGATTTTTTTTAAATATAGCAATAGCACTTAGATTTATATACCGCTTTATAGTGCTTTACAGCCCTCTCAAAGGGGTTTACAGAGTCAGCATATTGCTCCCAATAATTTGGGTCCTCATTTTACTCACCTCGTAAGGCAGGCTGAATCAACATTGAGCCTGGTGGAATTCGATATGCCAAATTGCAGTGAGAGTAGTTTGCAGTACTGCACTCTAAATACGATATTGCACTTCAATGGTTACAAGGCCTGGACATTGGTATTTGAACATATACATTTTAAACATTTTTTTGTGTTTTACAAATCTAGGTAAAATGCCATATGTTAAATATGCTGCAACTGTTAAGTTGCAGTTCCAAGAATTCCCCCGATAAACATGATCAACTGGGAAATCTGAAACGAAGTTTGCTAACTAGTCCTTATCTGGGAGAAAAAAAACACCTAAAACAACTGCTTATATGCGATGAATTAATTACATTTTATTTACAAGGTACTACGTATTATCCAAACGAACAAGTGATAAAGAAAAAGTTTTAAAAGATAGGAATCCTTTTTGAAAGTCTCTTGGAGATAAAGTTCTGTCCGAGCTGCGTTTTCCAGTAATTATTTTTCGGCTTCAGTAGAAAGTGCAGAATCAAATCAGATATTTTACAAAATCAAGCTGTAAATCTTACAAATTAAGGTCACTTTCATATGCTCATGGAAGTGCTTTAAGAATTATACGAGCAGACACAGTTCAGCCAAACTGGCCATTTGCAGACTGATTACTTCAGTATAAGAAAAGAACTACTTATTTAACGCAATGTAAAGAAACTATTTTGCCTATATTACACGTAATTAACCGTGTCCCACTCCATTGACCTCTCTGCCTGTATTAAAACGGCAGATCATTTTCCACGGCCCTGGAAACGCTTTCCCGACTCCAGCATTGCGACGCTCCTCAAAGCGCTTCCCCTTCCCTCCGCTCGAAGGGCTAGGCTACATCTTCCTAGACCTCACTTCCGCTTGTGCAGCAGCCATTTTGTCTTTCCGTTGATCCGGCTGCCCGAGCTTCTTCCTCCCACCCGTCGCCGAGGACCGCGAAACTCCAGTTCCACCTCCTGGGGCCCGATTCCTTCTGGACCCGATGCTTCGGGTTTTTCTTTATTTTAACCCGTCCCGTGATCCCCCCTTGCTTTCCCCTTCGCTCGCTCAGAGTGGTCTCCTTTCTAACACCTGTGACAGGAGACACCACCCACCCACGACGCCTGCTTATCTTCTCCGGAGAGTTCCCTCGTGTCTCCTCCGCTGGGGACCCGAGAGCTCAACCCCCACCCCCCCGAAACAGAGCTGGACCCTCATCGGACCTTTCAGCGGCTGAAGTGCCCCCCTTCCTCCGCTGACGAGGGGGCGTCTGCCGGCCGCCACTGGCCTCCCCGCCCGCCATGTCGAGCGAGGAGAGCTACTTGGCCATCCTGCGCTACTTGACCAACGAGCGCGAGCCTTACGCGCCGGGCACCGAGGGTAACGTCAAGCGCAAGATCCGCAAGGCCGCCGCCTGCTATGTGGTGCGCGGCGGGACCCTCTACTACCAGCGCCGGCAGCGGGACCAGCAACGCTTCGCCGAGCTCGAAGTGGTGCTGCAGGCCGAGCGTCGCGGCCGCCTCATTCGGGCAGCCCACCTGGAAACTGACGGCTCCCACCGGACCCGCTTGCAGACTTGGCAGCGCCTCTCCAGGCGCTATTGGTGGCGAGGTGAGGAAAGGCGCTAGGTGGGTGGGGATGGGAGGAGGAAGCGGGCGAGGGGACCGGTCTTGGCGGGGCGGCGGAGGGGCGAGCACGCCGGCTGGGCAGTGTGTCCGGAGGTGCCTCGCAACGGCGCCGTTGACACGCGCGACTTACTCGCCCCACCTCTGGTCTTGAGCGCCGCCTTCGTCAGACCGAGGCGCTCTCTTTCGAAGCTGCTAAAAACGGAGGCCAGGGAGTTGCGAGGCTCGTTGCCGAAGATGGATGTCCGTGCGAATGGGCTTATGCTCGAAAAGCGCCAGCTCGGTTCAGCGGCTCCCTTCCCCTGGATCACTTAACCACGGTTAATGATTGTGAAATGAACCCCGTTTTCTGCATGGTTGCGTGGATGCATGTTGAACACTCAGTTAAAACATTTACGGCAGGGGTGTCCAACCTTGGCAACTTTAAGACTTGTGGACTTCAACTGAGGAATTCTGGGAGTTGAAGTCCACAAGTCTTAAAGTTGCCAAGGTTGGACACCCCTGATTTACGGCTTCGTTTGATCAACAGATAAGGTTAAAGGGCTTTTGGATTATTTGTACGTTTGAGGTGCATGTCTACGGAGATGTCATGGTTGTCCCAAAGGTGCTTTTTTCAAGAGGCAACTATATTTAAAAGAATGTAAATGACTAGCTGTCTGCAAGGAATATAAATCCTTCCATTCCCCACCATCCAGTCAAAGCTGAAGAAGCTTCTTGGATGAGAAGCGAAATGTCTCTCCCCCCACCACCCCAAGAAAATCCAGTTGCCTCTTGAAAAAGCACCTTTGGGCTGGTTGTGCATTGACTCTACAGGGGACTGCTTGCCAATGTAAAGTTTCTTTTGAGCTCATATGTTGATCTGTAATCCCCAAACGGACAGCAGTTATTTAAAAAAACAAAAGAAAAATTGTATAAAATAAGGGGTTTCTAAATTTTAAGCATATTTTCTTTTTGTAATAACCTTCAATCAATGCAAGGCAGACATGCAGCTTCAAATATGATATAGCACTAATCAAGAAGGCTCTTTTAATTTACATAAGTTAGCTTACTGTAGACAGAAGGCAGCTGCATATTTTCTGTAAATTATCAGATACAAGTTCTAATGGCTCAGACTTGTTTTGTTTTGCATAATTATAGATTTCAGGGTAGGAAGTCTATAGTAGCATGTGAATAGCCAAAGCATTCTATTTAGGCAGAACAAAAAATATGACTTGTAAAGAATCCTCTCTGCTTCATTTCTCCATATGTTTTTGATCAGTACTATGGCATAAGTATGGAAAATTTCATTTTGTACATTTATAGAAAGTATAGGTCTGAAAACTGATGGGAGTACTGAGATGGCAAGAAGATTTGAAAATAAACATTGGCTCTAATTTAGTCTGTTTCCATGCAACCAAATAAAAGTTAAAAGATGAGTGTTTTTGAATAACTGCCCAATATTGAAAAATTTAAATATATCAGTTTGTGCATGAATAAAACAATACATACAAAAGTGTTTTGTGTTTTTTAAAGGTATCCTGAAGCAAGTTAAAGATTATATTAAAGAATGTAGCAAATGCCAGGAAAAATTAGATCGTTCTAGATCATTGTCAGACCCTTCGGAAATGTTGGAAGAGCTAGGATTGGATGCAATTTCTCATGAAGATAGTAATGAAACAGATGATGAAATAAATAATTCCACATCACTGCCAGCAGCATCCCCAAAACCAGTGAAAAAGAAACCAATAGCCAAGCATGAACTTGTATTTGTAAGTAAATGTTCATATATAATCTGGCATGGAAATTTATTTTGCATTTATACATGTATAATATACACTGCTCAAAAAAATAAAGGGAACACAAAAATAAGACATCCTAGATCTGAATGAATGAAATATTCTTATTGAATACGTTGTTCAAAAAATTATCAATGGAAATCAAATTTAGCAACCCATGGAGGTCTGGATTTGGAGTTACACTCAAAATTAAAGTGGAAAAAAACACTACAGGCTGATCCAACTTTGATGTAATGTCCTTAAAACAAGTCAAAATGAGGCTCAGTAGTGTGTGTGGCCTCCACATGCCTGTATGACCTCCCTACAATGCCTGGGCATGCTCCTGATAAGGTGGCGGATGGTCTCCTGAGGGATCTCCTCCCACACCTGGACTAAAGCATCCCCCAACTCCTGGATAGTCTGTGGTGCAATGTGGCGTTGGTGGATGGAGCGAGACATGATGTCCCAGATGTGCTCAATTGGATTCAGGTCTGGGGAACGGGCGGGCCAGTCCATAGCATCAATGCCTTCATCTTGAAGGAACTGCTGACACACTCCAGCCACATGAGCTCTAGCATTGTCGTGCATTAGGAGGAACCCAGGGTCAACCCCACCAGCATATGGTCTCACAAGGGGTCTGAGGATCTTATCTCGGTACCTAATGGCAGTCAGGCTACCTCTGGTGAGCACATGGAGGGCTGTGTGGTCCCCTAAAGAAATGCTACCCCACACCATTATTGACCCACTGCCAAGCTGGTCATGCTGGAGGATGTTGCAGGCAGCAGAACATTCTCCACGGCATCTCCAGACCCTGTCACGTCTATCACATGTGCTCAGTGTGAACCTGCTTTCATCTGTGAAGAGCACAGGGCGCCAGTGGTGAATTTGCCAATCTTGGTGTTCTCTGGCAAATGCCAAACGTCCTGCACAGTGTTGGGCTCTAAGCACAACCCCCACCTGTGGATGTCGGGCCCTCATACCACCCTCATGGAGTCTGTTTCTGACTGTTTGAGCAGCCACATGCACATTTGTGGCCCACTGGAGGTCATTTTGCAGGGCTCTGGCAGTGCTCCTCCTGTCCCTCCTTGCACAAAGGTGGAGGTAGCGGTCCTGATGCTGGATTGTTGCCCTCCTACGGCCTCCTCCACGTCTCCTGATGTACTGGCCTGTCTCCTGGTAGCGCCTCCATGCTCTGACAGACACAGCAAACCTTGCCACAGCTCGCATTGATGTGCCATCCTGGAAGAGCTGCACTACTTGAGCAACTTGTGTGGGTTATAGACTCCATCTTATGCTACGACTAGAGTGAAAGCAGCGCCAACATTCAAAAGTGACCAAACCATCAGCCAGAAAGCATAGGACCTGAGAAGTGGTCTGTGGTCACCACCTGCAGAACCATTCCTTTATTGGTGATGTCTTGCTGCCTATGCTTTCCACCTGTTGTCTATTCCATTTGCACAACAGTATGTGAAATTGATTGTCAATCAGTGTTGCTACCTAAGTGGTCAGTTTGCTTTCACAGAAGTGTGATTGACTTGGAGTTCCATTGTGTTGTTTAAGTGTTCACTTTATTTTTTTGAGCAGTGTATATCTTTTCATACATAGCAGATTTAAGATGATACTTAATTTGCTTTTGCTTGTTTTAGTTGTAACAATATGGACTGTCTTTTTTGATGCCAGGTTGACAGTAAAGGCCTTGTGAAACAATCTTCTCCAAAACATTGTCAATCAGTTTTGAATCAGTTGAACCAACAGCGGCTTTCTAGTCAGTTCTGTGATGTTACCTTACTTATTGAGGGAGAAGTGTACAAAGCACACAAATCTATTTTGGCTGCCAACAGTGAATACTTCAGAGAACTTTTTATTGAAAAGGGAGCTGTTTCCAGCCATGAAGCAGTAGTAGATCTTTCAGGTAATGTATCATAATATCAATGAGTTTATTAATTATGCAGATTTTAAAAAGGCAAATCAATTGACTATATAAAATATATTAAGAAAGACTATGCTGTCAAGTTTTCTTGAAAAAAAGATGCTTGAATTTTTTGTTTATTTTTTGTGCTTTTTGTTTCATTTGATAGGAAGTAATTTCGACAGTGTCCCCAGATTTATTTATTTAATGAATTTATTTCCTGTCTTTCAGGATAAAAAAGGACCCATTCTATAATAGTGTATCAATATACCACACTTAAATATAACTAAAATGATTTTTATTAGTAATGTTAAATACAGAATTACATCATGGCAGCTTATGACCTAAGTGAAAAGCACTGAAGCAAATGTTTACTTAAAACAGAGATAAGGAATGAATGCATTTCTATGCAGAGGATTCCTGAGATTTGTGACAACTATTGAAAAAAGACCCTGTCCTCAATATTCATATACCGGCAGACTTCTGTTTTTATAAAATAAAATGGTGAGGGTCTATTCTTTCATCAAATCTTTCTAATTTTGTTTGTTTCTTTTGTGTGCGTACATGCAGGATTTCGGAAAGCCAGTTTCCTCCCTTTGCTAGAATTTGCTTATACTTCAGAATTAGTTTTTGATTTTTGTAACATGGCCGCTGTAGCTGAGCTAGCTCAGCATCTTCTCATGACAGAGGTCCTGGAAATCTGTGAAAATGTACACAAACAGATGGAAGATAAACAAATCACCGTATACCAGAAAGGAGATGTCCAAATAGTAGAGGTAGCTCAAACTATTTCAGAGCAGAATGAAAGTGAAGCTAATCCTGTTGCTAGCACTGAGCAAGCAATATCTACCGAAGATAGCACTGAGCAAGCAA